CGTCGCTCAGGTGGTATAGATTTTTACGAGCAGTCGTCACGTGTTGCGGTGTGAGCTGACGCGAACTCTCCATGAAATGAAGACACCAAAGGAGAGAAAAACTCGCCGGCAAGGGTTTGAACATTCGCGCAAACCGTAGCCAGGAAACGTTGCTGCGTGGAAGGAAGGCGCGTAAACGCTTCTGAACGATATAATTGCAATCGAACAGGAGACACGATAGTGCAATAGCATAGTTGAGACTTTTGTACAAACAGGATTTCTTCAGAGAATGTAACGTTTCTTGCAGGGGGTGAAGGTTGAAGTGGGCTGAGAGAAAGTCACCAATGTTTGTTTTCTTCAGAAAACTAATCAGATGCCTGTCGACGCCTAGGAGGCGCTGCCGAGATTGATAGCATCTTTTTTCTGGCATGCACCGCTTTTGAAAATCATGCTCCGGTGCGTACACGTGCTGATCGATCACGTGCGCACACGACGTGCACACGTAGTGTCCATCTATCACTACCTCGGTCACGTGATTGCAACCATCGTCACGTGTCGGAGAGCCCTTTGGCTGCCGAACGTAATTGATGAGCGCATCGAATTGATCACACAGATCCATGATGTTTGGGAAATGGCGCCGATGCACCGCCTGCATCCGTCTATAATGCAGAGCCGCCGAGTGTTTATTGGTCGTAGGAGTCGGTATAAAAAGACTCTGCTTGCTTTCGTCATGCATCATTACGCTCGATTCGTCAGCAGGGTTGCATGCAATTTTCATGCTCTCGTCATCATGTCTGCCTCGTGCTCCAACATCTCGTGCGGACTTTCGGAGTTTGTGCATAAATTTGAAGGTGCTAACTACGATAAAGCCGTGTACTTCCACCCGAACGTGAATAAGATCGGACAAGATGCGTGGAGAATCGACAGCGCCGATATCAAAACCTATCTCAAGCCTCTGGTAGGTGAAGAGACCATCATCTGGGCGGGCATTTACAAAACTCCCATGTGGTACCTTCAACCGACAGATTTTATTGCTTTCCACGCTTTCGTCGTCTTTCAAACGAGAAACTGGTGGTGGTCTGCGGAAAAAACAACCGACGGTGTCAGCATATGCAGAGGCAAGACTCGTTCAAGCGTGACATCTTCCTATCGAAGCACCAATCGAAAAACTCCGATAGAGGAGATTATTGCTGACAAATCACATGTAAATCTGCAGGATCTGATAGATTTCCTCTACGACTCCAATCTCGTCAAGGGTATTTACAACGTTGTAACAAACAACTGTCATACGTTTGCCTCCACTCTGTTCAACGAACTTGCAGCTACCCACTACGTCAATCATATTGCACTTCGGCATGCCAAACCCATCGACTCGGAGCATGCAATCGAATGAGTACTCGACCCCCATCCAGACACACATTTAGCACAGATATGTTGGTTTTAAAATTTTTAATTATACTTTATGAAGTTCATTCTCAGCTTCTTTCAGCGTCATGATGCTGTTAGCCGGTATTTCTCCGTAGAAGTTTTGGAGTTTCTCCAAATAGTGCTTTAGATGTCTTGATGTTGATATGTGCCCTTTCAGTTCTTCTAACGTTCGCCATTCGTTGTCGCTGCATGGAAGGAAACAGATTAAAACATGTATAAGATCTCTGGTATTTCAAATAAAGAGAATTGCACGACAGATTACTTACCAGGAACACAGAAACAGAGGCTGGAGATCGGCCTCCAGCTTCCTCCGGTGGTGTTTGGAGCGTAGATGCTCGACAAACGGCCGGAGACCGGTCATAGTCTTTCCACACGCCGAGCAAGACAATAGCATCTTGATGATGGTTGAATGGGACTGATCAAGGTGGATCCAATCACTTTTATCCCCGCCCAGTTGTTCGTTGGTTGAAGGGTGCGCGCGCAGTTCAACATTAAAACTCTGCGCGATGATCAAGGAGCCCGCCGCTCAGGATGTGGAGCGGGTAAAGCGGTCCGCGGGTTCTAGTTGATTCCAGAAACTTCCGCCTGATCGGAGTACGCTGTGCGTACTCTGAGCATCGCGAGGAGTAGGAAACCATCGGCATTTTGCTACTCTCTCTCTGATTGCTGCAGACCGGGGAGTAGTAAAAGTATAGTATTTTACTACTCCCTGATGCAGACAGCGCGTGCGCGCGTACTCCTCGTAACCTTTTGACCCGCGTACGCGAGGGTTCGGGCGCGCTTTTGATGTGTATCCTGCACGCGGGTCTCGTTTTGACTGGCTTTGTGGTTTGATGCGTACAAACTTGAAAATTTCAAACTCGTCGGGGCAAGTGGTGTGTACGTATATCGAATCAATCTTCATTTCCTCAAATCATTTCGTAGTGACGGTGTTCCTTTTTTCATGTAGTCCTGGAATTATTTTAGCCTAGTCGTTTAGTCGGACAAGAGACGGACGCCCCTCTTCATCTCCTTGCAGCATTGCTTCGTGCAAGGTATGTGATCGTCGGCCATTGCATGTCTATCGGATCGTAGTCTGATTCCATATATAGATGCAGATATTTATTTTTTCGTAATTTTCAGCGTTTGATTTATTTTTTCGTAACTTTTCATCGTTTACAGCTGCAACACTATCGTCATACATCTGCGCGTGTGAATGCACATGTGCATCTTACCTGGTGATGAGCATGACCCTCCCCCCGATTGAATTGTTGTATAAATTCATGCGAGGTAAGTAAAATAGTTTACTAAGTCTTGCTGTTAGGTAAATCGGGGGGAGGATTTTTTTCCCCCGACTCTCCAGTACCTGTAGACACGTAGGTGATTGGGTTATTACGGACGTCATCAAAGAGTTGATGGGGGGTTGCGATGGTGATTGGGTTAGCATAACGATAGGATCTGTACACATAACAACAAGATTTGCTAATAGGGTATATAGGACCTGTACGCACACACACACACATAAGAATAACGATAGGATCTGTGCACGTAACAACTAGATCTAGGACATATATAGGACTTGTACACATATAAGATGATTATTAGGGTTTGCTGAGTGTTGTTGTTGCCGTTGTGATCTGTAGTACCTGCACACATAAAAAGAGTAGAGTTGGCATGGTAATAGGATTGTCATGGTGATAGGGTTACTAGGGTTATCGTCTATCGAACTATTAGGGTTATCATCACCAGAAAAATTAGGGTTATCATCATGGTGATAGGGTTATCAGGAATATTAGGGTTATGACTATCGAGATTATTAGGGTTATCGCTATGGTGATAGGTTTAGGTGTTATCAGAAATATTAGGGTTATCACCATGGTGATAGGGTTATCATCATCCGGAATATTAGGGTTATCGTCATGGTGATAGCCCTAGGGTTAGGGTTATCAGGAATATTAGGGTTATCGTCATGGTGATAGCCCTAGGGTTAGGGTTATCAGGAATATTAGGGTTATCGTCATGGTGATAGCCCTAGGGTTAGGGTTATCGCCATGGTGATAGGGTTAGGGTTACCAGGATTATTAGGGTTAATACATCCCGATTTTTAGGGTTAAAACGTACAGATTTACCGTAAATCGCAAAAATTTAGGGTTAAAACACCCCGGTTTTTAGGGTTAAATCGCATTACGTCATCGATGACGTCATGTGTAAAACGCTCCGATTTTAGGTTAAATCGCAAAAATTTACCGTAAATCGCAAAAATTTAGGGTTAAAACGCCCCGGTTTTTAGGGTTAAATCGCATTACGTCATCGATGACGTCATGTGTAAAACGCTCCGATTTTAGGTTAAATCGCAAAAATTTACCGTAAATCGCAAAAATTTACCGTAAATCGCAAAAATTTAGGGTTAAAACGCCCCGGTTTTTAGGGTTAAATCGCTATGACGTCATCGATGACGTCAGTGATATGGTACATGTCTAATACTTTCTACTTTGGGGTGCTAGCTGCTAGGCATCAAGTCTGAATCAAATAATTGTATGCTCCTTGCAATAAAAGTTGTGATGTTTTGTACAAGTTCGAAGATCCTTGAATTTTTTTATTGCTTTTAAGGATGAATTGGGTGGACCAGCCTGGACGAAAAGTGGTACGACCATGATCGTAGTGGTCGTACCATGTATGACGCCCCTGGTGTGTGTGTGTGTGTGTGTGTGTGCGTGCGTGTGTGTGCGTGTGTGTGTGTGTGTGTGTGTGTGTGTGTTTCCAATCGATACGTTGCGGGTTTGATTCCCGGCGATTATGGTCACACACGTCTTTCATCTCTTTGTTTAGACTCCTCCGGACTATTCTTTCATTCTCCTGGGTGGTTACCAACAGCCAGTGCATGCCGGAGTATGTGGTGTGATGTGTGTGCGTGAAACAAATGAATAAGACCAAAAAGTAGGGATTTACTGGCCAGAAAAGCCACTTCATAGCTGCGTGGTGTAGACCAGGCTGAATAGTGGCGGTCAATTCTTTAGCCTTGCAAGCTGTTGAGTACCGTAAAGTCGCGGATAAAAGCCGGGTTTCTATACAAGCACATCGCGGATAGAAGCCTGAAAATCATTACGGATCAAATGCATAAAATACTGTCGCGCGTAGAAGCCTGGCTTCTATGCAAGCGCGGATCGGGTGGGTCATCAAGAGTGCATGCGCTATGTACGGTGCATAGTAAAACTGCAGCCATACCGGTAGTCAGTGGTCGATCTACGCGTGTTGCGCGTAGAAGCCTGGCATACAAGCCTGGCAAAAAATGTCAGTGGTGCATATAAGCATGGTTTGCATACAAGCCTGGTTTGCATTATAGCCTGATGCAGAAAGCGGCTTATGTGCTTATAAGCCCGGCTTTTATCCGCGACTTTACGGTAGTGCAAACCCAGTACAAGTTGCTATGGCTTCTGCTGTAGCATCGCTAGCATCGCCTTCGGTGATGGGCTTCAAATGATTAAATGGTCAAATGGTGTGTGTCTGTGTGTGTTTGTGTTTGTGTGTGTCTGAGTGTGCTTGTACGTGCCTGGACGCATGTGTGTGTTCATGCGTGCGTGTTTGTGCTTGTTGTGGTTGATGATAACCTACAGCAAAACGAGGTACGGGTCCGTCCAACAAGACCATGCATGAAGCTACGAATAGGACATTCAGCAGCGGTTGGACCAGAGTACGCCGTATCCGCATCAGCCTCTGCGGTCAGTTTGGAACCGGCAAGACGAGCCTGGCGGATTCTCTCAAGAACAAGCAGTTCGTGGACAATAAGCCGAGTACACCGGTTCTCGATGTTGATCACAGCAATGTGCTCCACGGCGCAGGAAACCTTAAGGATTGGGACTTCGGCGCTGCACTCCTCTGTGCTCCTGACATACTTCACCATGCTGAAGATCTTGAGAAGAAACGCCAGCAAGAGCACGAGCTGCAACAGCAACCGGCTGGGTCTACAGATCATGAGGCAGCACCCAGCTCTGCTGAATTGACCCAGAGCCTGGTCGATGTCATCTTGGCAAACCAAGAGCTGATGCGAGACATTGGTGAAGAAGAAGTGGTGGTGTCCATTTGGGATTGCGGCGGCCAATCAATCTTCTCAAGCCTGCAGCATTTCCTAATGGGTGAAGATTACGTCATCTATATTCTCTGTTTCAACGCCTCAGAGAACTTCAATGACATCAAGCAGCAGAACTACTGGAAGTGGTCAGGCAATAAAATGTCCGAAATGACTCTTGACGTACCGGAAGACCTCAAGAACATTGACCACCTTCGACACTGGCTAACAGCCATCCACTTTGCCAGCAACCCAGGCAAGGCTGTGGGAAGCGAGAAGTTCGACTACCCGCCTGTGATATTGGTGGGGAACTTTGCCGACAAGCTGTCGACAGATAGGACACTTTCGGAGCACAAGGTCAATATCCTCGAGGAGCTGGAAAAGCTCTGCCGCCGGTCGCCAACCTTCCAGGGTATGATCGAGAACGATGACATTGATTCCGCAGAGTTGTTCCTTGTGGACAACCACGAGTCCGGAGATTCTCAAGAAGTTCTAGGAATCCGAAAGAAGCTACAGGATGCTGTTTCATCGGTGCTGGCAAACAAGCAGATTCCGATGGAATGGGTTCGTTTTGAGATGATACTGGAGTATCTCAAGAAACAACCCGCCCGCACTGGCTACACAACAAGAGGATGGATGAAGACACTGGTGGAGAAGGCCTGCAAGATCCAGGATGACTCCGGAATGGACGGTGCTCTATCCGAGTTCGAGCATCTTCTTAGTTTCTACAACGACCTACGTGTGATTATCTATCGGCCGGCACACAAGGACTCGCCGCAGCCTGATGACATCATCTTCCACAACACACAGTGGCTCATCAGGCAGATCAACATCCTCGTCTTTGGCCACAAATACCTGGTCGAACCTGGCGGAGGTGGTGGCAGGACGGCGAAGGAAGCCGAGACCAGGTTTCGCAACGTTCTGTGGACAAAGGGAATAGCAAATCGGCAATTGATGGACTATGCCTGGAAGGAGGTGAAACGAGATGTCCGTGAAAAGATGCTGGACGTGATGGTCGACTGGGATTTGCTGTACAAATCCGGAGACGCCCAGCAAGCAAAATACTTCATCCCGTCTGCTCTTCAACGTCGACCGCCGGAGAAAATCGAGGAGGCCCTGCGCAGCTTCCAGCCGGACAATGAGCCAAACGACGTCTGCTTCTCCACAGCTGACACACCGTTACTGATCATGGTTCAGCCACCAGGGAAGCCTGATGAAGAAGCCGTGAACTACAAGTATCCCGATGCGGACACACCGATGCCACACAGCTCGTACTTCAAGCTACTTGTACGGCTCATGAGAAAGTGGGAGATTACAAATACCGACCGGAGTCACTGTGAGCTCACCTACAACACAGCCAGGTTTCGGCTGTGGCTGCCGGAGCAGCTCCGTGACCAGTTCCCAGGCAAGGTGGAAATCTTCTTGGCTCACTACGACTCGTCAGGTGCCCTGCTGGTCAGCATCAACTTCCGGTACTCACCTGGCTGTGCCTCTAGCGCCTCTGATTGTCTGCAGCCGATCTCATCTATATGCCAGCACGTCCGCAAGGATATCATGGAGGAGTTGGGTAAGCTGGAGAACCCGAAACTGGACAAACCGGTCATGTTCAGTTTACCACTACCGCCAGTGTGCGCATGCAAAGAGCAGAAGTGGAAGGACTACAGCACCAAAAGCCGGGACCTCGGATACGCACCGTGGCGCGTCCGCTACAGCGAATCCGGTGCTGAGCACGATGCGTACTGCGCCTGGTGTGATTCGGAGTACAGCATACCCAACAACTCAAACTGCTGGTTCGAAGGTAGCACTTTCCAGGTAAGATATGAGATCAACGTCTAAACATTCTAGCGACAATGGAGTTAATTCACTCACTCGCATTGCCCTGATCAAAACCCGGAAACAAATCTGCCTCACGTTGAATACAAATTGTCAGGTGGTTTTGTGCATAAGCTCAAGTTCGAGCTGAAGGAACGAAATATGTTTAGGCTCATTCTATCGCTAACTTTTGTAAGCTCAAGTCCTATTTTTAAGCACTTTATTTTGTGAATCACATTTTTAGAGCGTTTATGCCTTTGCTTCGGCAGTATTTATTTATGGTGTGTGTTTCTTTGTGTGTGATATACGCGCGCGAATGGGAATTCGTACTTGTACACGTGCAGCTTGAAGGACAGCAGAATGCTGTAGCGAGGAAGCAAGTGGCACTCTGGAAGAAGAAAGCGGAGATTGCCAATGATCAGTCACTTCCTACGGTTAGTCACGTCTGTAGAAAAGTATTCCATTTTTAAAACCTTGAAAAACATTATTCTATCCAAGGACGACGAGGACTTAGAGCATTTGTTGGCCTGGACACATGTATACTGGTATATTATGTGCATATTCACCTTGAACCTTGAACCTTGAACCTTGCACGTTGACCCTCGAGTACCCATCCGTGATCAGGATGATAGGGGTGTTGTGCAGAGCAGAAGCGGGAGTGTTCGCACACACATACTCACGCTGGCACGTGAATGTTTGCACATGTACGTGTACTTTTACTTGTAAAATTGCAATAGAAATTTTGGAGATAAGCCACGTGGTCATTCTCAATAATCATGCATCTACACATCATCAAGCAACAATCTGTTGGTTCTAAGAACGTTTTCTTCTGACAATGTTCAGTTTGAATACATCACTGAGTGGTGATCTAAGAATGCCGAGTCCTCCGGCGAATATCCGGGTATATTTAAAAATAGGCTTGGTCTACCGCAGTACACGGCACCCTGTCGGCGAGTTTCATTTGAAATACTACTCTTTTGCCAATTTGTTTAAATATCTTACTATCTTATAGGAATGGATTTGCTCCCGCGCTGGAGCTCGCGCTATTCCGCCGACTTGACTTGACATTTGACTGACTCACGACTGCCATCCAGAGCACACAAGAAGTCCATCGAAACTTCGACTGGATGGCAGTCGTGAGTCAGTCAAATGTCAAGTACTGTCGGCGGAATAGCGCGAGCTCCAGTGCGGGAGCAAATCCATTCCTAAAAAATCATTGCCGAAGTAGCAACAGCTATTTCTTAATATCTTATTTTATTTATTCCCATTTTATTGCACTGTGTTTCGAAATGCATGCCTCTCACTGATTCGTGGAAGAAGGAGGCAGTGGATGCCAGCTCGGAAGTATTCCTCGCTGCCGTGCGCAACATCAATCCCGTCGCTGCTGAGACTTCTGCAATTGCTGCCAATGCTGCGGCTTCCCCCGCATCTGCGACTGCTGTCATAGCAACGTCATCGCCTAGCCAACCCAACGAGGGTTCTGCCACTCCATCTGAAAAGGATCACACGGCTACAGACTCGTCGGCCGACACACGATCTGCATCTTTGACAGGTGAGTGTCCGTTTTTTCTTGCGATGCTGTTCTACAGTACAGTCGGGCCCCGAAGAACGGAGAGCTGAAGAGCGACCAGGCTAGATTTTCACCAGTTTTAAAGAAGTGTCTAGTCTGGATTTTCACAGAGAATAACGTAACCTGTACTGCGCACTATAATGTACGCTCAGAAGTAGAACTCAGAAGTAGAACTCAGACGTATTTACCCTGCATACATGCAGCTAGGTTTCATTGGTACATTTCCACGGTTTCATGGCTAGTCAAATTATGTGAACCTGCAGATGTGCATATGCGTCACTATGGAACAGTCATGCATTGGTACATGCATGTACAGTCCAAATGTAAACTTTCGTACACACAATGACATGTATATGCACATGTATGACTGTACCATCGAAGAAGAATAAAACTGCTGTATTCGCGAAAAATAAGAACGGGCTAGGCTAGAACCCTGCCCCCCCCCCTTTTTCTTCGGCGCCCGACAGTGCTGTAGATGTGTTCTGCCTGTGTGTGTATGTTTGGCTCAATGCATTGTCATTCATGTGACATTTTCTGGAGCCTGGTCACAGGATTGATTACAGAGGTGATTGGATGTAACGACCTTGCATTTAACGACAGATTGAGTTAAGCGAATCCAACCTCGTAGCAGGAAATCACACACAGAGTGTCTCCACGTGCCTTTTCGCTACGCTACCAGTGCTGAGATTTCATAGGCATAATCCCTTCCCTCGCAGAAACTCGAATGAAGCCACCACGAAGCGTCACTTTCTGAACAACAGCCCAACATGACGAGTAAGAAGACCTGGTCAACAACAAATCAGCAAAGAGTGCAACAGTAGCGCAAGATGGCCCAGATTGGGCCAGAACGATCTCTTGTGCTGAGCAGCTAGTGCACATGAGTTTCACATGTGTGCCACGCTCCCATGAAAAACTTATTTCTCTCGCGCTGCTATGAGCTCACGTACTTCCGGTGCATGCACGGTTACATGCATTTTCAGGTGCCGGACGGCAGCGGCTGTGCCCCGAAGTGAACTTTTTTCAATTCTTGATTTTCCAACTCCAATGCATACCTGAAATCCCCGAGTGTCCAACTGCTACGTCGTGATTTTCTACTTGTGCGACGAGGCATCGATGCACACGTGAGACTCGCTTGCACTGTCTGCCCTGTTAACCCTTTAAGAGCCGCCCCATACTTGAATGCAAAACTTCAAAAGATCGTAACTCAGTCCAATCTCGCTCTAATCCAGTGATCGAAATATCCAGGGCGAAGAGAAAACTCTCACCTGTCGGTAGAAACAATCCGCGAAGCGCTGCAAGCAACGGTTCCTGAGATAAATCACTCGTAAGTTGAGCCGCGATCGCGGCAATTTCAAAAGCGCGCAGTGCGACTTTAGTATTGAGAATTTTGAGACTTTTCGTCACGCTGGTTTACTCGAATTTGCAAGGGTTTCACGGTTGATATTGTCAAGAGTACACAGCGAAAAAATTGGAACTCCACGATCGAGTAAAATGAAATATCTGGAGCGGGACGCAATTGGACGCATTTGGGGCATTTTTCGTACTGTCGCTGCGATCTAGCGCTGGATAGACGGTGTGCTGGCTATCATGATCGACCTCATTCTCTTCCTCTCGCGGAGACCTTTCCAGGAAGCCCTAGATTGTGAGGATTGAGTGAGTAGAACTGAAGCTATGATCCAAGGAACACGAAAAAATGCAGAATTTTGAACTTTTCCTGTGGCTCTTAAAGGGTTAAGTTGGGCCATATTCCGCTACTGTTGCACTCTTTGCTAATTTGTTGTGGATGAATTCGTCTTCCTCGTCATGTTGAGCTGTTGTTCAGCAAGTGACACTTCGTGGTGGCTTCATTCGAGTTTCTGCGAGGGCAGGGATTATTCCCAATATGTCTCAGTGCTGGTAGCGTAGCGAAAAGGCCTATGGAGGCTTTCCTGTGTGCTTTCCTACCACGAGTTTGGATTCAGCTATTTTTTTTTTTAGTTTTAGTGGATACCTTTATTCAAGATCACTTGTTGGTGCTTGAGGACATGTTGTAGCAGAATATGGTGATGGTCTACCCCAAATTCAGGACGTAACCCCGCTGCTACCGCCAGTACCCTTGAAGACAGCCTCCGTAATGGCCGTCATTGGAGAGGCAGAATTGATCGATTCGCTCGAGGGACTCGGCAAGTCGCCAATCGAAAGTTAGATGACTAAGCATTACTACGTAACTTGGATCGGTGTGTGAACATAGTTAAAATCCATACGTATTGTTCTTCTGTTGTCGTGATACGAGTTCGTACATATCATTTCTATCGACTGTAAGACCAACAATACTTTTAAATGTAGGGGATTAGAAGACCTTCGAAACTCACAAAATCAGTCGGGGAAGTGAACTGCGTGAAAAGAGAAGAAAAATATGCCCCCCCCCCCCCCCCCCCCCCCACACGACTTGAACCCGGTACCTTGCATGTCATGAGCCATACTCTAACTGGGAGAGGGGAAAGACCCAAGTGCAATCAGTACAATGTCATGTATATGTGGCACGTGGTGTGAGTTGCCTTTGGAGTGAAGTGCTTGTCAGCCCCTTCTAGGTTCAGCCTGGTCCCGTAGCTGAGATGGTAAAGCCTAGTTCACATTCGACAGGGCGTGACGGTACACGACTTAAGGATCGACCGGAAGCCATGGGATCGTCTGACGGCGTCCAATGTGAACGGCAGGAACGGGAACGCAACCGTACTACCATAGGGATCGGGAAGCGACGGGAAGAGTTGGATCAGTTCAACTTTTCATACCGTAGAAGGGCGTAGACGGGGACGCAAGCATACACAACTGCAGTATTTTGAGTGTGAACAGGAGGCGTGTGCCGACTACTCTGATTAGTGCTTTGAATTTTTTTACCATTTCGAACACTACGCTGCCCATGATAACTCGCAGAATGGCTCACACGACTTGAGTTGAATTTTAGCAAGATAAGATCCCTTGCTGAAGCCTCAGCCCTTCTTCAAACTTGGTTCTCCTCTTCCCGGAGCGAGGCAGCGTGGCGGTTTGTACAATGGTCTTGGAAGCTGCAGAGGAGCGAGTGTCAATTGTCTTTTCTTTTGCAGTGCCGGCGAGAGGGATTGATCCCCAGATTCAATTCGAACTGTGTGCGGAAGCCAGCATCAACGAGTCACAAGACCATCAGGGAACACAAGAGACATCAGTACTGCCGCCGTCTTCTCTGCGATGCCATCGAAGACAAATGCGCAGAGAAAGATTACCGCGGGAGGCGATACAAGCAGTCCAGAGAGCAACTGTGGACGTTTACACAGTCGGACTACCTATTGATCCGTTCTCTTCAACGTGCAGTGGTTACCGAAGAACGAATAAGTTCCAACGCCAGACTAAATCGGAATATTTCTGGACTTCGAGAGGCGGATCAACGTGTGGAGGGAACCAACAACTCACCCCGCGGCCCAACTCCTGTTGCCGCCGTTGGTGTTGCGTCACCCAGTGGGCATACGGCCAATGCTGAGCCAGTCCATGAGCGGGCGTTGGTGGTGGACGACTGTGTGTCCGACCAGACAAGGCGTCTGCTGGAACATGGACCTAGCTTTGTCCCGTCGACAGGGAGGCTCACCAAGCAAGAACGAACAGATGTTGAGACATCGGTAGAGAGGATGGCGTTCACCCTCCGGTGGCAACAGCCCCAGCCTCAGGGTGTGGACCTCAAAGAGGAAGACCCACCGCCAGAGATCAGACAGGACAAGAAATTGTGGAAGCTGATGAAGCGTGGCTTTAAGCAGCCCCCACAGATGGACGACAAAGACGAAAGGAATATGGCCAACTTCCGCGACGAGGTGTTACGGGCATATGACAGACACACACCCTCTAATCCCAATCTGACGCAGGAGGAGCGGGTGGAGCTGAAGCGACTTCGCACAGACCAAGAAACCATCATCAAACCATCGGATAAAAGTAAAAACTCGTTGCTATGAGACAGGAGCTGTATTTGCAGAAAGCAGAAGACATATTATCGAACATGATCATGTATGAGAAAGTATATTTGACCATAGAGTCCTACGAGACCAAGACACGAGAAGTAATACTGTCAGAGTGCAAGAACATGGATTCAAAACTCCTGAAGTCAATCCAAGCAGTACGAAGTTCCCCGAGTGGTACGGTCTTCCAAAGGACCATAAGCAGAACTTACCATTGTGACCCGTGGTAGCAGCGTGCGACAGCCCAACGACTGGAGTATCTATTGTATTGGAGCGCATCCTACAGCAGCTCATTCAATTTGTCCTGGCCCACCTGGCTAACACGACGGAAGCGATACCCCACATCTGTGACGCATGTCCGGGATTGAACGCCCCCGATGGCACCATTGTTATGTCCATGGATGTAGTCGGGTTATATCCGAGCATACCTATTCGGGAGGGCGTTCAGGCAGTAGTGGATATGCTGCAGCAGTATTCCCAGCGGATCGACATGTTTGGGCTGAGTGTGAGCGGGGTCCGGAATCTGCTGCTGTTTGTTCTCAGCCACAACTATTTCAGATTCGGCCATCAGATCTATCACCAAGTGGACGGGGTTGCAATGGGTAACAATCTTGCACTCCCATTTGCGATTCTATTCATGCATACGGTTGAGGCCAGGCTTCTGCAGGATTCTCCGTTAGTACCGCTCCTCTACAAACGCTACATCGACGATATCCTGCTGCTATGGACCCATGGCAGAGAGAGCTTGATGCGGTTTGTGCAGCATTTCAACTCTGCACACCCGAGTACCAACTTCACATATGAGCTCAGCGAGGTGAGTGGCTCCATAAATTATATGGATATCACAATTATGATCCAGGAAGGCAAGCTGGCATACAAGCTGTACCAGAAGGCATGTGCTAGCGGTCTACTCATTGATTATACTTCGGCAGTTCCCCACCATATCAAATTGGCAGTTGCTTCGTCACAATTCCTAAGAGCTCAGAGGCTCTCATAGAATACCAGAATGCGTGCAGAAAGTGAAGCGAGGGTTCATGAACAATTAAGATTGAACAATTACCCAGAGAGAATCATTGAAGAGGCACGCACTGCCTCCATAAGGCCAAAGCGCCGTCGCCGTGCCAACCCATGCTGCGCATTTCTAAAGCTTCCATATAAGTCGGATAAAGTACATCAAGCAGTGAATAAAGGAATCAGAAAGTATAAAATTCCGGTTAGAGTCGTATATGAGCACACTGGTAACCTGAGGCGCACATTGTGTCGCTCCGCCCTCGTTCCTCCTCTATGTGTCAAGGCTGCAAATCCGCTACAACCGAAAGAAGAGAGGTCGCCCAAAGGGGCCGTGTATCTCGTGTATATCCGGGGGACAGGATGTATGTATGCAGAAGAATGTTGTATATCAGCGGAAGTGGAAAGAATGTCCGGAACAATATGTTGGTGAGACTGGCCGCTTTCTGGAAACTCGCCTGGAAGAACATAATGGTGAGGCAAGACGCCAGGAACTCGACAAGCCATGAGGCCAACATTTTCGTACCACTCACCCTGGATGCAAGCTCAACTATGGGCAAAGTGCATTCTCTGCAGTTGAAGTAATAGGAAGAGAGCCTGATCGAGCTTGTCGCAAACTGCGCGAGGCGATTGAGATTCATGATGCTAAGCCCCATGTGAACATAAGCACCGGATGGGATTTGTTGTGAATTTTCTTAGCTTCCCCTGCTGCTACTTCAATATCACTGAATATAATATGAGGCGGGTCACTCAAATCCATTCTGTTCTTGATGCCTCGTCGCGTCCCTGGTGGTAACAGTTTGGCATGGAAGTTTAACCTCATAGTGGATTGGCGCATGGGCCTCCGTGCTCCCCTCCTTTAATGTGCTAGAATTAACACCATAATTATTTGGCATGTACCCTCACTTCGTAGAGCACAACGGCACGCTCTTCTTCTCCGTGATGTGCACAGTTGCACCTTCTCTCCCCCCTCTGTATAGAGGTGACATAACTCGCATCATTATTTTATTTTTTTGGCGCTACACTCTGCGTAACGCCATTCACAGAGCACAATGCGCGCTACCTTCTGCTGCTTCTCCTCCGTGATGTGCTAGTTGCGCCTTTTCTCTCTCTCTGCCCCCCCCCCACCCCTTCTGCATACTAGGTGACATAATTCGCATCTTTTTTGGCGCTACACTCTGCGTATATACTGCTCTTGTGTGGCTTCCACGGTATTCATTGTTATTACCTGACCATGGCCAAGTGCCGAAACGTTGTAGAAATAACGGAACTGGTTCGGATGTGATGTGCAGCGCTATGGGAATGGGTGTGTCCACCCGAATTATTTTCATAAGATCCCTTGTCACTTATTGTATTTAGGGATAGTTCAGCGGCTTGACAGATGAACTGTTTTATTATTTCCTGGTGCTATTATTTGAATGACACAACTTTCAGGGCTACTTTTTTTAGTCTTCCTGAAAAACTGGTATTGTGAATTTGATTTCGCTTCATTCAAGGAGAAACAATTGGAAAGAAGTCCCGAAAAACAAGAAATTACTTCAAGTAGGTCCGAAAGTCATCCCGTCACGGACCATGCCTTATGACTCGCGCCGTTCGCTGTTGAACATCGCAACGACTGCTGCATGTCGAGTTGTACGAATCGTACAAGATTTTACAGCTGAACCCAGCCGTCCCGACAGGCCGATTCGTCCCGTACCGTCAGCGTTGCGTCGAATGTGAACTAGGCTTTAGAGCATTTCTCATGACAAGCAAGGTCCTGGGTTCGAGTACTGGTGGGTTTGGCATTCTTTTCTCTTTCCAGGCAGTTCATTTCCCTGAAAGATCCTTTGAATTTGAAGTTCTCCCAATCCGTTCAAAATCGATCACTTTCTTTCACCTCTCGTAGTACGTTCCAGAAACTGACCGTGGTTGGAATTTGGTCCCCTGAGGGAAAAAGACCAAGTGCCATCAGTATGTGTGGCACGTGTTGTGAGCTGCCTTTGCAGTGAAAAACGTGCCTTCCAGGTTCGACCTGGTTCCATAGCTCAGATGGTGTGAGCATCGCTCATAACAAGCAAGGTCCCGGGTTCGAGTCCTGGTGGGGTTAGCATTTTTTTTCTCTTTTCAGACAGTTCACTTCCCTGACTGAACTTTCGAACAATTTATTGTTTTTTTCTTTCCAGGGATGTTTAGGGTATTTCGCACACAATAAATAATGAGTTGATGGTATGTTTTGCCTGAAGCCCCTCCCCTAATGCGAGGCAAAAGCCTGTGGAGAATCCATAAAATTTAATACAATTACAGATGCCTAATGTCGAAGCACTCGTCACGGATTTTGGTCACACGCTTTGCTTACGTGTTTGTGTATATGCTTGTGTTCGTTCTTTCGTTCATGCATGTTTGTGTGTGTGTGTGTGTGTGTGTGTGTGTGTGTGTGTGTGTTTGTGTTTGTGTGTATGTGTATGTGTATGTGGCTGAGCATGCTTGTACGTGCCTGCCCGCATATGTGTGTGTTCATGTGTGTGCGTATGTGTACTTGTTGTTGTTGTTGTTGTTGTTGATCACTTGCAGCAAAACGAGGTACGGGTCCGTCCGACGAGGCCATGCATGAAGCTACGAATAGCACACTGAGCAGCGGTTCGACCAGAGTACGCCGTATCCGCATCAGCCTCTGCGGTCAGTTTGGAACCGGCAAGACGAGCCTGGCGGATTCGCTCAAGAACAAGCAGTTCGTGGACAAGAAGAAGCCAAGTACACCGTTGCTCGTTGTTGATCATGGCAATATGCTCCACGACGGAGGAAACCTGACAGATTGGAAGTTCAATGCTGCACTCCTCTGCGCTCCGGACATCCTTGATCAGGCTGAAGATCTTGAGAAGAAATACCAACAAGAGCAAGAACAGCAGCAACAGGAGCAAGAAGCTGCAAGACTGGCCGAGCCAGCGGCGAAAGTCCCAAAGCGAGCTAAGTCTATAGGACTCCAGCGTGCGGGAACAGCGACGAAAGAGGCAGCAGTAGAACATCCACAGCGCCAAAAGCAGCAACACCCCATCGTAGTGCCTGGACACCGAGAAAACGTGGAGGGGAGCTCTGCACCAAGACACAAGCAGTCATCGAAGGAAACATCAAAACTCACTGCAGATCCAGAAGCAGCACTCAGCTCTGTTGAATTGACACAGAGCCTGGTTGATGTCATCTTGGCGAACCAAAAGCTGATGCGAGAAATCCGCAAAGAAGAAGTGGTGGTGTCCATTTGGGATTGCGGCGGCCAATCAGTCTTCTCAAGCCTGCAGCATTTCCTAATGGGTGAAGATTACGTCATCTATATTCTTTGTTTCAACGCCTCGGAGAACTTCGATGACATCAAGCAGCAGAACTACTGGAAGTGGTCAGGGAGTACAGTGTCTGAAGTGACTCTGGATGTACCGGAGAAGCTGGAGAACATCGACCACATTCGGCACTGGCTAACAGCCATCCACTTTGCCAGCAACCCAGGCAAGGCTGTGGGAAGCGAGGCGTTCGACTACCCGCCTGTGATATTGGTGGGGAACTTTGCCGACAAGCTGCCAACAGATATGACACTTTTGGAGCACAAGGTCGATATCCTCGAGAAGCTGCGAAACCTTTGTTGGCGGTCACCAACATTCAAGGGTGTGATCAAGACCAATAACATTGATCCCGCAGAGTTGTTCCTTGTGGACAACCGCCAGTCCGGAGCTTCTCAAGAAGTTCAACGAATCCGAGAGAAGCTGCAGGATGCTGTTTCATCGGTGCTGGCAGACAAGGAGATGCCGACGGAATGGGTTCGCTTTGAGATGATACTGGAGTATATCAAGAAACAACCCACCCACACTGGCTACACAACACGAGGATGGATGAAGACACTGTTGGAGAAGGCCTGCAAGATCCAGGATGACTCCGGCATGGACGGTGCTCTATCCGAGTTCGAGCGTCTTCTTAGGTTCTACAACGAACTACGTGTGATTATCTATCGGCCGGCAAACATGAACTTGCCGCAGCCTGGTGACATCATCTTCCACAACACACAGTGGCTCATCAGGCAGATCAACGTCCTCGTCTTTGGCCACAAGTACCTGGATGAACCTGGCGGAGGTGACGGCAAGACGGAGAAGAAAGCAGGGAGAGCAGAGACGGAGTGGCGCGGCTATCTGTGGAAGGAGGGTATAGCACGCATGCCACTAATAGAGTGTGCCTGGGAGGAGGTGAAACCAGAAGTACGTGAAAAGATGCTTGACGTGATGGTCGACTGGGATTTCCTGTACAAATTCGGAGACGGCCAGCAAGCAAAGTATTTCATCCCGTCTGCTCTTCAACACCGACCGCCGAAGAAAATCGAGGAGGCCATGCGCAGCTTCCAGCCGGACAATGACCCAAACGACGTCTGCTTCTCCACGGCTGACACACCGTTGCTGATCATGGTTCAGCCACCAGGCAAGCCTGATGAAGACGTCCTGGGCTACAAGTATCCCGACGCGGACACACCGATGCCACATAGCTCCTACTTCAAGCTACTTGTACGGCTCATGAGAAAGTGGAACATCACAAATACCGACCGGTTTCGCTGTGAGTTCACCTACAACACAGCCAGGTTTTTGTTGCCGAAGCAGCTCCGTGACCAGTTCCCAGGCAAGGTGGAAATCTTCTTGGCTCACTACGACTCGTCAGGTGCCCTGTTGGTCAGCATCAACTTCCGGTACTCACCTAAAGGTGCTGCTGGCTCTTCTGATTGCTCGCCTGACTCTGTTGCATTCGCCTCTGATTGGCTGCAGCCGATCTCATCTATATGCCAGCTTATCCGCAAGGAAATCATGGAGGAGTTGGGTAAGCTGGAGAACCCGAAACTGGACAAGCCAGTCATGTTCAGTTTACAACTACCGCCAGTGTGCGCATGCAAAGAGCAGGAGTGGAAGGACGGCAGCAGAGAAAGCCGGGACCTCGGATATGCACCGTGGCGAGTGCTCTACAGCGAATCCGGTGCTGAGCACGATCCGTACTGTGCCGGGTGTGATTCGGAGTACAGCATACCCAACAACTCAAACTGCTGGTTCGAAGGTAGTAGTAGCTTTCAGGTAAGAGATGGAGACCAAAAGTCTAAATATTCTAGTGACCATGGAGTTAATTCACTCACTCACACTGCGATGATCCAAACCCAAAAACGAATCTGCTTCGCGTTGAATACAAATTGTCAAATGGTTTCGTGCATAAGCTCAAGCTTGAACTGAATTAACGAAATATGTTTAGTCTCGTAGGACCCAAGAAATCGCCCTGCAAAAGCACTTTTGGTTGAGAATTTTCTTGAAACAATTGTTGAGGTTAGGTCTTTATAAGGCAAAGTAATGGTGCAAAATACAAGACTATGTCCAGAGCATTGCTTATGTGCAATTTTATCAATTGTCAAAATGGCCGCACATGCTCCTGTCGGAGCGCTAGAAACTCTGTCCAAAGTGAATTTTGACCATGGCACATCAATCGTGATGAGGTCCTAATGTTTTTCTCAGCCTGCCATGGTTGTGGAATGCAAAATTCCATACTCCGTTTCCATGGTTACCATGGGCTATTGCCATGGAAAACTGTAATATGCCTTGTACAATCACGTCTAAAAAATGTTGGACTCCTTCATTAGCCCCTTAGAAACAGTTTAGGGTCAGGGGTTAAGTCAATATTAGAACAGAGGCCGTGCAGCATATCTGTGTATGATGGTCCCACCGGTAGGACCGAGGTCTATGCAAGCTATCATTAGGGACTCCATTCTTTGAATTACATCTTTACTTATGCCTTTTCCTTGAGAGTATTTATGGTGTGTGTTTGGATGTGTATGGTATACGCATGTGAATGGGAATTGGTACCTGTACACGTGCAGCTCGAAGGACAGCAGAATGCTGTAGCGAGGAAGCAAGTGGCACTCTGGAAGAAGAAAGCGGAGATTGCCAATGATCAGTCACTTCCTACGGTTAGTCACGTCTGTAGAAAAGTGTAGAAAAGTATTCCATTTTTAAAAACTTTCCAAGGACGACGAGAGCATAGAGCATTTTTTGGCCCGGACACGTGCGTGCCGGTGTGTTAATGTGTGTGCTAGCCTTGGGCCTTGAACCTCGGGCGCCCATCCATGATCAGGATGATAGGGGTGTTGAGCAGAGCAGAAACGGGAGTACTCTCACGCACATACTCACACAGGCATGTGCATGTTTGTACGTGTGTACATGTTCTTGTACTTGTACAATGGAAATCAGATTAATAAAAAGAGAAGTTGCATGGTCATTCTAAATAATCATGCATCTACACATCATCAAGCAACAATCTGTTGGTTGTAAGAACTTTTTCCTGTGACAATCTTCAGTTTGAAAACATCACTGAGTGGTGATCTAGGAATGCTGCGTCCTCCGGCGAATATCCGGGTTATATATTCAATGACCGCCATCCATTGGGTGCGTTGCTAGTCGTCACCTCAAGTTGGACTACCTGGAATTCTGTGTTTGATTCTGTGCCGAGAAGACGTCAGGTCTGTTGTGTTTATTGCTTCCCATCGACCTGTTTGAATTTTTTAGATTGTTCATTTTAAAATTAGGTTGCTTCACGAAAGCCTGCGAAGAATTGTGTTCCACTCATTGTGTATGAACTTAGAAGTCGCGACTTCGGTGGCGGTCATCTTCATTGTGTATGTTTAAAATTCTTCTGTTCATCCATTTTCTTGTGTTATTTTTCAGGAGGTGAAGAGGTTCCTTGCTGACCGTGCGGACAAGTGTTTGTGTATGCTGGCTGGAAGCAGAGATACACTTGCCGTGGCATCATCGTCGTTCGGCACTATCGAGCCGGCTGTGGGTCTGGCGGAGATATGGATGCTGTGCTGCCAGTATGTCGGTGCTGGGCATTCGGATGTGATCCTGCGTGCTGCTCGCATGTGCGACACTCTGCAGAGCGAAGATCAGCTTGTTCGTGTTCTAAGTCACTTCTGTCAGGAGAAACAGTGTGGCACTTCTGAGCGGTGAGTAAAATTATAAAATAATGCTAGCACACTCACACCTTTGTTATCCGGACCTCGAAGTTATGGACGCCTTGTTCTATTGCAGTACCGGGCAAGTTCCAGTTGAAATTCTACTCTTTTGCCAATTTCTGCAACACTGTGTCACCTTTGGCATGCATGTGTTTGTGTGTGTGTGTGTGTGTGTGTGTGTGTGTGCGTGTGCGTGTGTGTGTGCGTGTGCGTGTGTGTATGTATGTTTGTGTGTGTGTGTGTGTGTGTGTGTGTGTGCGTGTGTGCGTGTGTGTGTTTGTGTGTGTGTGTGTTTGTGTGTCCCATATGGTGCTGTGGTATGTGCAGCGATTTCCAATCGATAGGTTGCGGGTTCAATTCCCGATGATTATGGCCACGCACGTCTTTCTTCTCTTTCTCAAACTCTTTCTGACTTTTCTTTTATTCTCCTGGGTGGTTACCAACAGCCAGTGCATGCCGGAGTATGTGGTGTGATGTGTGTGCGGGAAAGGAAAGGAAGAAAGACCAAAAAGTAGGGATTCACTGGCCAGAAAAGCCACTTCATAGCTGTGTGGTGTATACCAGGCTGAATAGGGGTATTCAATTCTTCAGCCTTGCAAGCTGTTGAATAGTGCCATCCCAGCACAAGGTGCTATGGCTTCTGCTGTAGCATCACTATCATCGCTTCCGGTGATGGGCACAAAATGGTCATGGTCAAGGGTGTGTTTGTTGGTTTATGCGTACATGTATTTTTGTATGTGCACTTGCAGGACATTGAAGGTTTCCATCATGTCACCTCTTGTGGCAAGGAAAAGATGCCAGCAGTACCCGCGTCCATTGTGGTGCTTCTTGCTGCTCAAGCACTGCTTCATCATCAAGGAGAAGGGCATAGATGTTAGCAATCAAATCGGTGATTTGCCAGCTATCGACTCGAGCGACTGGAGCTGGATTGCTCCTGTGGTTTCTCCTCCTGCCAGCGTCCAGGCCACACTGCCCGCTCCTGCCAGCGTCCAGGCCACACTGCCTGCTCCTGCCAGCGTCCAGACCACACTGCCTGCTCCTGCCAGCGTCCAGGTCACACTGCCTGCTCCTGCGAGAGTCCCGGCCTTGCTACCTGCTGCATCAGGCATGGGTATGCCACCAGCTAGCAGGGGTATGTGATCTATTGCCGGCAGTTTGACCGCGATCTCGTCTGTCTCTGTCTGTTGACAGATGCAGTATTATTATTATTATTATTATTCCCTCGAATGATGAAGTAGGTTATTCCTGCGTGGAACAAACGCTTCCTGCCGAACTTGACACTAAGTTCCCTCAAAATAATGATGAATATTTTTAAACAATCGCGACTTGATAGTTTTGATTGCACTGCAGCAATGCAACGGTGGCAGGGCTGATTACTGAACTGCTGCTGACTTCATCATGTACATGATTCCCTGTAGTGGGCTCTGAAAACTTGTGAAAGACCCAAATTCTGCTATTTCTCACCGGAATTTTCAAGCAATTTCCCGCGGGTATCCCCCCGCACCCCCCCCCCCCCCCCTCCCCCGACCCCCCTCAAACCGGACCGACTTCGCCCACCTTACGGCAGGTCTGATGGCTCAGTGGTTAGAACATCGCTAGCCTCAAGCAAATGCCCCCGGTTCGAGTCCTGGTGGTGACAGTCAATTGTTTTTGAGACCTTCTCCGTTTGCATCTTTCCCTCAAACCAATGGATGTGCTTTTCTCTTGCCAATTTCCAGATCCGTCTCGTGTTGTGGCTGACGAAGTGACAAAGGGTTCAGAACAAGCCTTGCCACGTTCCTCTAGACCAACTCGCTTCGGAAAACTGGCGTGTAACTTCTCCAAAGGTAGGTTGTGCGCGACTGCACTGCTTGTGGATATTGACCCCCGTCGTAGCTCACGGTCTTACATGATTGTCAGGCAAGCAGCTGTGTGTGCGTGCGCGTGTTCACGTGTGGGTGCGTGAGCAAAAATGTGTCGTGAATGTCACATGCTTGTTTTGTAGAGGTCTCTGTGTATGCTTATGCTTATGCTTATGCTTATGCTTATGCTTATGCGTATGTGTTTGTCTTCTTGTTCGTTGGTTGCTCTGTATCACTGTCAGTTGCTCTTCCCTCTTGTCCGAATTTTTTATTTTTTATTAGGCCATCATTTTTTATATCTATGTTTCGCGTCAGTTCAACTTCCAGAATCATAATTATGCGAGAGGTGGAAAAAATAAAAAATTGCAAAATAATAAAAAAAGGCTCATCAGATATAGCACTGTATATAGCACAATACCTTGTGCATGGTGTACATTCGAAAGAAAAATCCTACATCCAAGCACAACATCTGGGTTATCAGCGTGAGTAAATATTCACTTTGGACAAAGGAGGCAACCGTTGGTGCCCATGCTTCGCTGGATTATTGTACTCAGACTTCAGCAGCGGTGCAAAGAGCTCCGGAACGACGCATCCTCTCAGCTTGAGGCGATCGATGCGGTCTGGTGTAAGCTCATAGAATACTGCTCGCAGATGCCGAACAAACGATTTACCAACGCTGGCCTCGAGGCCATTTCTGAATCCCAGCTTCGCCGTATGCACCCAGTCGACACTGAATCAGTGATGATTCGCACAATCGTACACTCACTGTGCATGTTCGATTTATTTTATTTTTTTCCAAAAAAAGGCAAAACATATGCGTTTGGACGACGCGAAACATAGATATAAAAAATGATGGCCTTATTTTTTATTTTTTTACTAAGGCCCCAGCTTCCAATCATGACATGCAGCGGTATAAGAGACATTCTAGCTATTATGGGTCACACAATACTCAATACTCAACAGAGGACATTCATGGTAATCACTTTAAGAACGAAACAAGAAGAAGAACGACAACCAAAGAACAAGCACAGAAACTATGCATGCACGCACTGTACGCAGCACGTGCAAAGTCAATAAATAATGACTTCCAAAGTACAGATACCACATCCCTCCACCATTAAATAAAACTACTGGGAAGAGACTAAAGAAAGGTTCGTAATAGAACAGTATGAAATGATGTGCCACCGGCCACTACAGATCAAGACGTTTAGGCGCAGTGGACACACGAGTAGAGCGTCGCAGAACAACAGCGGGAGAACTATCTGCAGCAGGACTAGAAGCAACAGAACTAGCAGGACTCATAGAAACTGCAGGTACAGGAGACAGTGCAGAAGAAAGTGCTGCAAGAGTAGGCTCGAGTACAGAATCAGAAACTGAAGTGGCAGTAGCAGAATGATTAGTCGGCAAAGACAGACTAGGAGACTGAGAATAAGAAAATGACTGTTCATGGCGGACTGGAGCTGATGTAGAAGATTCCGGTGAACTGTCGACTGGCATGCGCGGACGAACATGGTCAGCATGCCGTTTCCACAGACGACCGTCATCTAGACGCACCTTGAAGGTCAATGGACCACAGCGTTCTTCGAGAGCACCAGGGAGCCACTTCGGGGACGAGGTGAAGTTCATCACCCAAACTGCATCACCGCACAGGAACTCGGATGCCGATGGCGAACGACCACCGCACATGCTGGCTTGCTTGGATTCTACATGTGCACCGATATCAGGAAACACGAGGTCAAGGCAAGAGCGAGGCTTCCGCTGAGACCACAGGAGCTGGAAGGGTGTCTGGCCCGTCGTCGAATGCGGCGTACGACGATACATAAACAGGAACTTGTGCAGCCGTGACTCTAAGTCACCAAAGGCGAGCTTGCGATTGCCGCTCTTGACTGTCTGCACAGCTCTCTCAGCAAGACCACTACTGGCAGGATGGTATGGTGAAACACGGGTATGCTTGATACCATTGGACTGGCAATAGGCAGCGAATCCAGAGCTGCTGAAAGCAGGACCGTTGTCTGTCACAAGACATGACGGCAGTCCAAGACTAGCGAATGACTGGTGAAGTTTCGGATGGTAATAGCCGATGTCGCTCCAGAGGTGACATGTGCTTCAATGTACCTGCTGTGGCTATCTACCAGGATCAAGAGCATCTTGCCATCAATAGGGCCAACGTAATCCATGTGGACGCGAGACCATGGCCGACTTGGCCATTCCCACGGATGAACAGAGCTGGGGTTGGGCGACTTCTGAGCCTCCTGACATGATGAACAGCTTCGGACTCTGTGTTCGATCTCTGTGTCGAGGGATGGCCACCAGAAATAGCTGCGGGCCAGCGCTTTCATCTTCGTGATGCCTGGGTGTCCATGGTGCAGCTGCTGCAGTAACGCCTCTCTGCCAGGAGCGGGAATGACGACACGTGAGCCAACCAGAACACATTCGGCTTGGACGGAAAACTCATCGAGTCGACGCCAGTAATTTTGCAGGTCGTCCGGTACGTTCTGCGGCCAACCTTCCACAACAAACTTGTGGACTAATGACAGAACCGGATCTCGGCTTGTCCACTTGGATACTTTTGCTGCTGTCACAGGCGAGGAATTGAGTACGTCAATGGACAGTACAACTTCAGCAGGTGTTGGAGGCTCGAGCTCAGGGCCATCAGCAGGACGAGGCAGTCGGCTCAATCCATCTGCATTGCCGTTGGCTTGACCCGGCTTGTACTGTAAACTGTACTCATAGCTCGACAGCAACAATGACCAGCGTTGTAGACGGCCGCTAGATAGGGGTGGTGTTGGTTTGTCAGGAGCGAACAACCCAAGCAGCGGCTTATGGTCGGTCTGTAAGGCGAATGAGCGACCATAGATGTACTTGTGAAACCGTTTGACTGCGTACACGAGAGCGAGTCCTTCACGGTCCAGTTGAGAATAATTCTTCTCTGCTGATGACAGGGTTCGGGATGCAAATGCGACGGGACGCTCAGTACCATCCGGCATGGAGTGCGACAATACAGCACCGACACCATAGGGTGAAGCATCGCAAGACACTACGATCGGAAGTGACGGATTGTAGTGTGTTCGAACCGGTTCAGACGACAGCAGCGACTTGCCGTTGTCAAACGCTTTCTGCTGCCGTTGGGACCACTGCCGAGTCTTGGCAGACAGTAACTCGTACAACGGCGCAAGAATGGAGCTGAGGTTCTTGACAAAGCTATGGTAATAGTTAATCAGACCCAGAAAACTTCTCAGCTCAGACACATTGCGTGGACGGGGAGCTGCGAGCAGATCCTGGATCTTCTCGGTTGAAGGACGAATGCCCGTGGCGTCAATGACATGTCCGAGGAACACTATGGACTTGGCCGCGACAAGACATTTGTCACGATTCAGCTTCAGACCAGCACAGGCCAAACGATCAAGCACTACACGGAGGTTCTTGTCATGCTCTTCTTGAGTGCTACCTGAGACCACGATGTCGTCAAGGTACACGACCACAAACGGTAGACCAGCTAATATCTGTTCCATGGTGGGCTGAAATATTGCTGGTGCGGCAGATACACCAAACGGCAGGCGATTGTATACATACAGTCCCCTTGGACGTGTTGATAGTCGTGAGCAGCTTGGACTCGTCATCCAGTAAAAGCTGCTGATATGCATCCTGGAGATCCAGCTTCAAGAAGAACTTTCCGTTTGACAGCTTCTGGTACAGATCCTCGATGTTGGGTAGCGGGTACTGATTGTTGGGTAGCGGGTACTGATTGTTGGGTAGCGGGTACTGATTGACTTTAGCGGACTGGTTTACGGTACACTTGTAGTCGCCACAAATAAGAATGTTGCCGTTTCTCTTCATGACTGGGACGATAGGTGCTGCCCAGGCCGAGAATTCCACTAGACTGAAGATTCTGGATTCCTCCAGACGCGTCAGCTCGGCTTCCACAGCAGACTGTAACGCGTACGGCACTGAACGGGCTCGGATAAATCGAGGCTTGGCGTTCTGCACTACTGACAATCGGACCTTGCCATTCTGCTATGTGCCTATACCAGGCTTGAACAAAGACGGATACTCGGAAAGAACGTTGTGGTCTCGAGTGACGTTGAACACAAAGTTCCAGTTCAGGCGTAGTAGCTCCAGACAATCACGACCAAGCAGGTTGGGGCTACCACCTTTCACCACGTGAATGGGAACTTCGGCAGACTGACGCGATCCATGTGTCACACGCGCCACAAACCGACCTTGGACTGGCAGAATCTTGCCATTGTACGTACGCAGCTTCAAGAGATTGTCAGTCTCCAGTTCAATCTTAGACTTAGACGACAGACGGCGGTACTCAGTATCATTGATGATAGTTACGGCGGCACCCGTGTCAATTTCGAATACGGTTGGAACGTTGTCAATGTGCAAGGTACACATATACGGATCAGCGTGTGCACTTGCGGCGGTAGGAGTGTCTGGAACATCTGACGCTCCAGCCGATGTATGAAACAACGAGTACTCATCAGACGGTGCAACTGTACTGCTGCTAATTTTCATACTACTGGTACTGGCAGACTGTTCACCAGAAACACGATTCACTGACGAACGACAGACACTGGCGAAATGATTGTTTTTATTGCACTTACGGCAGGACTTGCCCCATGCTGGGCACTGCTCTCGGTTTGCATGCCAGGCACCACCACAGCCACCACAGCGACGGGATTTACTGTGAGTGCCACTGGCGCTGGAGCTTGCAGCTGACTTGCTGCTGGCATACGTTGGCCTTGGTTTCCGACTGGAGGACGAATGCTCCACTTTGTGCATTGTCGATTCCTTGCTGAAATTGGCGCTGGTAGAGCTGCTGATGCCTGCCATCGCCGCCACGGATGACAGCGTCGCCTCGACAGAGCGCGCGTATGTCAATAAATCCATCAGGGCAATACTGCTCTCCATAAAGGCCTTCTCTCTCACTTTCGAGAGGACGCAGTGCTGTACGACTTGAGATTTAATCTCAGAGTCGACATTGGAGAAACTGCAGTGCTTGGCCAGCCTACGTAGCCTAGAAACATAGCTGTCGATCGATTCAGCTGCTGCTTGCTTCTCTCGCCTGAACAAATAAATTTCATACTCCACGTTGCGCTTCGGCATAAAGTGGGCCAGCAAGGCATCTTTTAGCTCCTTGTACGTTCCAGTCTGGCTATCGTCTAAAGTCAAATACAGGTCAAAGACATCCTCTCCTCCGACATGCAGGAGCTGAGCCTTCTGGCGGGCGTCCTCAGTGACTTTAGCTGCTATCAAATAATTATCAAATCTGGCAACCCATCTCTCCCAACGGAGGCCAATAGATTCCGCCGGTTCGAGAGAAAATGGAGTCCAGGACTTCATCGCTACAGAATCCATCCTAGCATCCTAGACAAAACACTTGACTTCGTCGCCAAAATATTATGGTTCACACAATACATGATACTCAACAGAGGACATTCATGGTAATCACTTTCAGAACGAAACAAGAAGAAGAACGACAACCAAAGAGCAAGCACAGAAACTATGCATGCACGCACTGTACGCAGCACGTGCAAAGTCAATAAATAATGACTTCCAAAGAACAGATACCACACTAGCCACGCTTGTTTCATCAGGAGGGTGTCTGTTCTCACCTCTACATATACCCTCCAACACAAGCTACGCTGCTTGTGAATACTGTAAAACCGGAAAGTCTGCCGACCAAAAAGTTTAACGTTTTTGTAATTTTGGCATGATAGCGTGCAGAAAGTTTAACGATGGCTACCTGGCCACCCATCTGTATGAGCATCTCCGCACAGACATCTAGCGATAACGGTGTGTGTGCGTGCGTGCGTGCGGGCGGGCGGGGGGGGGGGGGGGGGGGTGTGGGTGTGTGTGTGAGGTTGCCATCAACAACTTCCACCACCGCTCTCTCAGGTTCATTCTGGGTGTGTCCCGGCTCGATCAACAGCTGCAGCATGTCAACAACCAGGAGCTGCGAAGACGCTGGGGTGATATGGCACTGCCATCTGATACCGTCAGACACCGCCGTCTGCAGTGGCTTGGGCATGTCGCCAGAATGCCAGATAACCGGCTTCCGAAGCTGATACTGTTTAGCTTCTTCTCAGATCCACGCCCAGCCTGTGGGCCACGACTGCGATGGAAAGACCTCGTCGCGCGTGATCTTCGTTTCGGTGGCATAGTGAATTGGCTCACTTTGGCCCAGGATCGCCCAGCATGGCGCGAGGCAATTGCAAAGACTCCGGATGATCTCGTGGAGTGCAACAACAACAAAGTCACCTGCAAGGTTTGCAACCGATCATTCACTGCTCGTGGGATTCACCGTCACAAGTGCTCAGCTGTACGGTCCTTACCTGTTGCCCAGCAACCTGGGGCCCGTCACTGTGGAGTTTGTGACCGCTGGTTTCAAAGCGCTGGCGGTTTTGCAGTTCATCGTTGTGTGGAGCGTCAGACATCGGACGAAATACCAGCTGTTTCAACGAGATGCAGCCTGAATTTGGACTGCTGCCGGCACCATTGCTCGACCTGTGATCGCTGCATGAAGAGTCAGGCTGGTTTTAACCGCCACAATTGTACTCGAGGCAAACGACTGCGAAAGGACCAGAGGACTAATCTGCCCATTCAATGCAGCCTATGTAGTGAACGATTCTCCCGCCCGCAGGACCTCACCCGCCACCGAAGACAGAAACACTAGCTGTGTGTAGAACGGTCCCCTTTCACCTCAATTACTCTCCTTGTTTCTTTTCCTTTCTCGCTGTTGTCTCCCGCTTCTGGGACCGACGTGGCCATTTTGTGGTAGTTGTACATAGTAGTAGTGTGTGTGTGTGTGTGTGTGCGTGCGTGCGTGCGTGCGTGTGTGTGTGTGTGCTGTCGTCCTCACGACCCTCTTGTATGGTGCGGAGACGTGGACCACCAAGGCAGGCCACCTCCAGAAGCTTAGGCCACCCTTTCTTTTTTCGTTGTTTAACGTCCGCGCCCGCGTACCTTTTTGCCTCCGACCGGAAAAAAAAACAAGAAAGTAGTAGTACCAATAATATGCGAAGTTGTAAATACATGATTGTGTAGTTTCACAGTGTGCCGGTCATGACCTTAAACTTATAATCTTGCCTCCCTGGCATGCCTTTGTCTTGTGTTCTTTTTCTTTTTTTGTTGGCTTTTAAATATCGTACGGTGTGTGTCCTAGTAAAAATCCAGATGTAATGAATTCATGACATGCTAACTCCATGCTATGTACCTGTTTTGTTGGATTCATCAGGCATGTGCTCCAATGTACCATCAAAGAGTGTTGTTCTATGCCTGCAAGTGCCGTTAGACCCAGAAATATTGTATATATCACATGCTTTACTGGTCAAAATGTTTGATTGGGGTTTCCAGTTTTTGGAATGGGCTTTTGTTTTTTTTTCGCCCTCCCGCGTACCTTTTCACGAAAAAAAGGACGTTAAACAATGAATTAACAAAGGGTGGCCTTAACACGTTTCACCATCAGTGTGTTCGGTCCATCGTGGGTATCGGCCGTCGTCAACAGTGGGATGATCGGATCTCAACGGCCACATTAGCGGCTACATTCGGTGTTGACCCTGACATCACCAGCATCATCCGTCGCCACCGGCTTCGTTGGCTGGGTCACGTCGGCAAGATGGACGACTCGCGCGCACCGAAGCAATTGCTGTTCGGTGAGCTGCCTGCCCCCCGTGCTTGTCACGGCCCGAAGAAGAAGTGGAGAGATGTGGTGTCGACTGACCTGGCGGACCTCGGCGTGACCACCTGGCTTGAGAGTTGCCAAGATCGTCCCGGCTGGAGACGAGTTGCGAGTAGCACTCCACCGCGCTGGCCCGCTCCTGATCCTCTTCTATGTGTCTGTGGACGCCCATTTTGTCGACCAGGAGACCTGAAACGACATGCCAAGTTCTGCGCTCGTGTTCTCACTTGAACTTTCCGACATTCGCTATCATTGCGTACGCAATGGGCAAGATCAAGGTCAAGGTGTGTGTGTGTGTGCGTGTGTGTGTGTGTGTGTGTGTGTGTGTTTGTGTGTGTGTGTGTGTGTGTGTGTGTGTGTGTGTGTGTGTGTGTGTGTGTGTGTACTGGTTACCCCAGCAAGTGTAGGGTGTGCATAGGTAACTGTCTTGGCCGGTTTATGCCGATGTACTCCGTGTGGTGTAGACCAGGTGTGCATTGGTGGTCGATTCACATGGCTTTGCCAGTTGTGTGGATTAGCCAGTTATCTGGCGCAAGTCTTGATCTGTCTCCTTCAGATCTTGTTCGCTATCGTTGCTATAAGAGAAAATCTGTGGGTGCACATCCAGTGCATTTGCAGCTTTGCGTGCTTCTCTTGCGACGGGCGTATACATGGTACATGGTACATGGTGTGTGTGTGTGTGTGTGTGTGTGTGTGTGTGTGTGTGTGTGTGTGTGTGTGTGCATGTGCGTGTGTGTGTGTGCGTGTATGTGTGTGTGTGTGTGTGTGTGTGTGTGGAAGTTGGACTAGTTTCGGCTCCACAATCCAGTGTGTCGTTACTATATAGCTTTCATGGCTGAGGTTGTTGGTACGTCTGTTGGCCCTGGGTTCCCAGTACCCAGTTGCCGAGGCTGGTTGGTAAAATAACTCCAATTTCACTTCACGGTACCAGTGCATCTAGTGTCTGCTTTTATCAAAGCAGCGTGCTGTCTATTCTGGTAACCCCAGCAAGTGTAGGGTGTGCATAGGTAACTGTCTTGGCCGTCCTATTCCGATGTACTCCGTGTGGTGTAGACCAGGTGTGCATTGGGGGGTCGATTCACATGGCTTCGCCAGTTGTGTGGATTAGACAGTTATCTGGCGCTTGTCTTGATCTGTTTCAATCAGAATCAGATCCGCTATCGTTGCTATAAAGAGAAAATCTGTGGGTGCACATCCAGTGCATTTGCAGATTTGCGTGCTTCTCTTGCGACGGGCGTATACATGGTACATGGTATGTGTGTGTGTGCGTGCGTGTGTGTGTGTGTGTGTGTGTGTGTGTGTGTGTGTGTGTGTGTGTGTGTGTGTGTGTGTGCGTGTCTTTCTTCTCTTTCTCAGACTCTTCCTGACTTTTCTTTCATTCTCCTGGGTGGTTACCAACAGCCAGTGCATGCCGGAGTATGTGGTGTGATGTGTGTGCGGGGAAAAAAGAAAAAAAAATGAAAAGACCAAAAATAGGGATTCACTGGCCAGAAAATGTCACCCCAAATAGCTGTATGGTGTAGACCAGGCTGAATAGTGACGGTCAATTCTTCAGCCTTGCAAGCTGTTGAATGGTGTAATCCCAGCACAAGTTGCTATGGCTTCTGCCGTAGCATTGCTATCATCGCCTCCGGCGATGGGCGTCAAAGGTCAAGGTGTGCGTGTGTGTGCGTGTGCGTGTGTCCCATATGGTGCTGTGGTATGTGCAGCGATTTCCAATCGATAGGTTGCGGGTTCGATTCCCGATGATTATGGTCACGCACGTCTTTCTTCTCTTTCTCAAACTCCTTATGACTTTTTCTTTTATTCTCCTGGGTGGTTACCAACAGCCAGTGCATGCCAGAGTATGTGGTGTGATGTGTGCGCGGGAAAGAAAAGGAAGAAAGACCAAAAAGTAGGGATTCACTGGCCAGAAAAAGCCACTTCATAGCTGTGTGGTGTAGACTAGGCTGAATAGTGGTGTTCAGTTCTTCAGCCTTGCAAGCTGTTGAATGATGCAATCCCAGCACAAGGTGCTATGGCTTCTGCTGTAGCATCGCTATCATCGCCTCCCGTGACGGGCGTAAAGCAGTAATGGTCAATGGTGTGTTTGTTGGTGTGTGCGTGTATGCGTGTGTGCATGTGTTCACGTGTGTGTGTGCGTGTGTGCGTGTATGCGTGTGTGCGTGTGTGTATGTGTGTATGTGCACTTGCAGGACATTGAAGGTTTCCATCATGTCACCTCTTGTGGCAAAAAACAGATGCCAGCAGTACCCGCGTCCATTGTGGTGCTTCTTGCTGCTCAAGCACTTCTTTATCATCAAGAAGAAGGGCATAGATGTTAGCAATCAATGCGGTGATTTGCCAGCTATCGACTCGAGCCTAGCGAGCCGGATTGCTCATGTGGTTTCTCCTCCTGCCAGAGTCCCGGCCACACTGCCTGCTCCTGCCAGCGTCCCGGCCACACTGCCTGCTCCTGCCAGAGTCCCGGCCACACTGCCTGCTCCTGCCAGAGTCCCGGCCACACTGCCTGCTCCTGCCAGAGTCCCGGCCACACTGCCTGCTCCTGCCATAGTCCCGGCCGCACTGCCTGCTCCTGCCAGAGTCCCGGCCACACTGCCTGCTCCTGCCAGAGTCCCGGCCGCACTGCCTGCTCCTGCCAGAGTCCCGGCTGCACTGCCTGCTCCTGCCAGCGTCCAGACCACACTGCCTGCTCCTGCCAGCGTCCAGGTCACACTGCCTGCTCCTGCCAGAGTCCCGGCCTTGCTACCTGCTGCATCAGGCATGGGTATGCCACCAGCTAGCAGGGGTATGTGATCTATTGCCGGCAGTTTGACCCCGATCTCGTCTGTCTCTGTCTGTTGACAGATGCAGTATTATTATTATTATTATTATTATTCCCTCAAATGATGAAGTAGGTTATTCCTGCGTGGAACACACGCTTCCTGCCGAACTTGCCCCCAAGTTCCCTCAAATGATGAATATTTTTAAACAACCGCGACTTGATAGTTTTAATTGCACTACAGCAATGCCATGGTGGCAGCAATTCAAGAATAATTCCTTCTTGATGACATTGATGTTGTTTCCCAGCGCAAACATACAGCAATTTTGGCATTATAATTCAACCCTTTTATGAATTATCCCCAGACTTTTTCCGTTTTAAATACCCTTGACAAATGAATATTTTGTAGTCAATACTTTTGAATTCCTTGACTCTGTCGTGCATTTCAATATCAAGAATCCACTTGACATACCACACTGTCTGTGAACGGGAGATCAGTGGAAACACAATCCATACGAGACGGCACTGCGCAGTGCACTGGGGTGTCAGAAGTCGTTCAACATTGGTGCAGCCATGAATAGGTACAGGGTCCAGGGATCCTCCCCTGGGAAAATATTAGGGAAATTGGTCCGAAATAGCCCATCATAATTATTATTTCATTGCTTCACAAGGCACGAGATGGAAGTATTGGTGTGGCTTTGGCCGCACCTGTCGCACCGGTTCTGACGCCCCTGGTGTACGTGACGTGACATAAGTTGTGAAACCGTTTCTTAAAAAGACAAATTCAAAACCGGTTCAAGCTACCGTAGGAGGAAAGCGAACATATCGTGTTCAGGTTAAACTCGGATGGAGAGCCAAGGATTAAAACTAAAACGAAAGGACCAAAGGTTTACAACTGTTAAGATTTCATATAAATCTTTGGTCCTTTCTTTCCAAGTTTGATACTGTTCAGTTTTGTTTTGTTCTTCTCTAGCGGGTATACCAGCCATAGCCCCATACTGGTAAGCTAGTGTTAGGAGGGCGAAGGCAGTATGAAGCACTATGTGGTACAAGAACCAGGATACTGCACTGGTGGGGGCAGGAAAGGGAGAGAGGGGGGGGGGGGGGGGAGGGGGGTAAAGACGAAAAGCGACGAGAGAGCAAACTCAGCAACCTTCGCTATGCTCGTTTATCATGCATGCTTATATTTGCTGATCTAGCTAGTCGAGCTGGTGCTAAGTCACGTGTCACGGTTGGACGCGTGCGGCAGGCCTGGCGCCCTGCCTGCGCCAGCCTTTGTGCCCTGTTGCGTGTGATGACGGACGTACAAGGTACGACACACACACACACACACACAAACACACACAGAGACATACGAAATAGAGCGCTGTGCACCGTGGCTAGCGCCAGATGCTACTAAGGTAACGTATTTTGCATAGCTATGGGAATAAAAGAAAGTCAAATCTGACGATACTAACGACAGGAGTCAGTGATGAGAACACATCTAACGCTACGTCCTAAAGTCTACTAGGAACTTTCCGAAGAAGTGGGTAGGAAGAAGTGGGTAGGAAGAAGTGGGCAGGAAGAACAGGAAAACAGCACTTTGCGGCAAGAGGACAAGAAAAATACCAAAAAGGCCTATAATTATGGTGAAATATAATCATTTCATGGTAGACCATCTAATGTCTCTCTCACATACTTCAAAGAAGTACGCAAATACACACGTGCGGGCGCACGCACACACACACACATACACACACACACACACACGCACGCGCGCACACACACGCACACACACGCACACACACACACACACACACACACACACACACACACACACACACACACACACACACACACACACACATACACACGTACATTATAATAGATAGATATGCAGTAACAGCTGTGCAGTCTCTAGTGGGTGTGCTGTCTAAAGAAGCACTGCCGCATACGTGGCAGCCAAAACAAGTAGAGAAGTGTGATGATAATTGTCTCGGTCCCAGTCTCGAAAAACAGTACTAATTCCTTCCTTTGGTGCGTAATAGCATGGGATTCACCCAATATCTTTCCCACAATCACTCACTTCAATGGTAAGCCATACTGAATGCCAGGTCTAGCTCATGGGTATGTTGAGAACAGCATTTGTCACGGGGAAAAAGCTGCGCCGATGGCACACGGGATCGCGGTCGAACTGCCGGCAGTAGCTCATGTACCCCTGCTAGCTGGTGGCAAATCCATGCCTGGTACAACAGGCAGTATGGCCATCCCGGCACGGGCAGCAGCAGGCAGTGTGGCCGAGACACAGGCAGCAGCAGGTTGTATGGCCGTCCCGGCGCGGGCAGGAGCAGGTTGTATGGCCGTCCCGGCGTGGGCAGGACCAGGTTGTATGGCAGGGACGCGGGCAGGAGCAGGTTGTATGGCCGGGACACAGGCAGGAGGAGAAACTGCAAGAGCAATCCAGCTCGCTAGGCTCGAATCGATAGCTGGCAAATCACGAATTTGATTGCTAACATCTATGCCCTTCTTCTTGATGATAAAGACATGCTTGAGCACCAAGAAGCACCACAATGGACGCGGGTACTGCCGGCATCTTTTCCTTGCCATGAGAGGTGACATGATGGAAACCTTCAATGTTCTGCAAGTGCACATACACAAGAACACACGCACGCACACACGTGAACACACGCATAAAACACATATACGCACGCACGTGAACACACGCACAAAAGTTACACAGATAAGCACACACGCACATACGCAATACAATGCAATATGCCCATCCGGAGATGATAGCAGGTCCCGATGGGACCAACAGTGTTCAAGTCACGAGCAAAAGGGGACGTGGCGAGTCAAGTCCTGGAGATGGCGATAGCGCTTCTCACCGTGCAAACGATGCACACACACACACACACACACACACACACACACACACACACACACACACACACACAAGTAACGTCTTCTGCATAGCTACGGGAATAAAAGCACATTACTATCTCTGTTGTCCAGGCGGTCAGGGACCAGGCACAGTCCACCACTTCAAGCACTTGTGAATGTCCAGAACTCTACATCACATACATGTACATGTACGTCTTGATGTGGAAGTGCCAGAGATCTGGCATGTGACATCACTATTTCCACAAAAAATGGGAAAGGAGTAGTAATATGGCAAGAGAGTAGTAATATGGCAAAAGAGTAGTAATATGGCAAAAAAGTAGTAATATGGCAAGAGAGTAGTAATATGGCAAAAGAGTAGTAATATGGCAAAAAAGTAGTGGGGGAATGGGTGTGTCCACCCGAATTCTTTTCAAAGTAGTAATATGGCAAAAAGTAGTAATATGGCAAGAGAGTAGTAATATGGTAAGAGAGTAGTAATATGGCAAAAAGTAGTAATATGGCAAAAAAGTAGTAATATGACAAGAGAGTAGTAATATGACAAGAGAGTAGTAATATGGCAAAAAAGTAGTAATATGGCAAAAAGTAGTAATATGGCAAAAAAGTAGTAATTATTTTCACTAAAATACACCTACAGGGTGCCCATAACCTCGAGGTCCGGATAGCAGAGATGTGTGTGTGTGTGTGTGTGTGTGTGTGTGTGTGTGTGTGTGTGTGTGTGTGTGTGTGTGTGTGTGTGTGTGTGCACTGATGCCGTCAATCCTTTTTCTGCACCTTGTCCTCACCCACTTACTGAGGTGTGGTGAGCCCATAAGTGGGATCATTTTCAAGTCCACCCAGAGTTTCGGGGATTTCAGGGGGTGTCGGCCGTTGGGCGGTTCAATAGCCAGTTGAGTCATCTTTCCAAGATTCCTTTTGAGTCTCTCTCCCCTCTCCCGGGAAGACCCACGTGACCAGTTTTGGCAGTGAGCAACAAGTACAAGTACAAGTGTGTGAGTGTGTGTGTGTGTCTGTGCCCTGCCGCTGCCTGCTTCTCCGCTGTGCTGCGTCGCTCACTGCCAGGCTTGTGACCGCTGCTTTGCGTCTACACGTGGCCGCGCCCGTCATCGCTGCTCACGGACTTGTAGTCGTCCGACCGTTCAGGACCGTCAGGGTTTCACATGTGTTTGCGCCTGCTCTCGCCGATTTCGCTTGCCGCATCACCTGGATCGTCACGGGGCTGTGTGCTCCTCCTCTCTCTCAGCTGCCCCTCCGGCGCCCACGTAACCTTCATGGCAGTGGCTCAACAGGACAGGACAGGTGTGTGTGTGCGTGTGCGTGTGCGTGCTAGCAATATTTTATAATTTTACTCACCGATCAGAACCGCCACACTGTTCCTCCTGACAGAAGTGACTTAGAAAACGAACAAACTCATCTTCGCTCCGTAGAGCATCGCACATCCGAGCAACACGCAGGATCACATCCGAATGCCCAGCACCGACATGCTGGCAGCACAGCATCCATAACTCGGCCAGATCCACAGCCGGCTCGATAGTGTCGGACGACGATGATGCCACGGCAAGTGTATCTCTGCTTCCACCAAGCATACACAAAAACGTGTCCGCACGGTCAGCAAGGAACTTCTTCACCTCCTGAAAAATAAAACCAGAAAATGGATGAACAGAAGAATTTGGAATATACACAACGAATGGAACACAGTATTTAGCTGGTTTTCAAAGCGAATGGAACACACAATTTAGGTTTTAAAGTTCCAGAATGAACGGAACGTACGATTTAGCAGGTTTTCGTTTAAAAGTAACCTAATTCCGAACAATCTATCAAATTGAAACAGGTTGATGGGGAGCAATAAACACGACAGACTTGCAGTCTTGCCGGCACTGAATCAAATACAGAATTACAGATGATCAAATTGTGGTGACAACTAGCAACGCACCCAATGGACGGCGGTCATTCAAAATAAAATGATTTCCTGAAACATTGCACGACATTGACCGACGGTAGTTAGTTGTAGAATGTCAGTATTTATTAAAACTGGAGTATGTCCTGAAGAAAGTGTCTGCTCCGAACATCGGAGCTCGCGCTTCCTGCCAACTGACTTGAGGGGTGAATTCCCCGAAACACTGTGTCTTGAGCAGGGAGTGGTGCTTTCTTTCAGGTTTGCCAAGTGAAAGGTTCGACGTGCTTCTCGTGTGCTCCACACGCAGTCGTGAGTCAGTCAAGTGTCAAGTCAGTCGGCAGGAAGCGCGAGCTCCAGCATTCGGAGCAGACACTTTCTTCATTAATCACCGGCGATGTCGCAACATCATTCGCACTGGAGTATATCCTATTGTAAGAAAGAAAAGAAAAAGGACCAGGGAAATACAAGTTACGCTAACATCACCAGTTACCGAACAATCAGCTCATGCGCTAACATCGGACGACACTGACAGACGGTAATGAGCTGATGAGCTGAACTGATTGGTTAGTAACTGGTGGTGTTAGTGCACATTATAGCGAACTTGTAGTTCCTTGGTCCTTTTTTCTTTCTCATAAATATACTCTTGGCTCTCCATCCGAGTCCTTTATATCCGATTAGGGAACAATATATTACAGCTTCTTCAAACCGAATCCATAGGAGCTAGCCAGCAGAGATCCTACAAAATTGCCTTTGCATGCCCCAAGTCCAAGAATAAATCTGCATCACTTCGAATCGGTCGAAGAGGGAGAATGTCAAAGCGTGAAATTTTCGCGGCGTTTTTAGTTCGGGTTTTCAGAATCCGGACAGGTTTGCGAGGTTTTAATTTTGCGATTGCAGAATGGCATTCTGGCTAAACCTGTGGCATTCTTGCTAAATCTTTCATGGATCTCCTTTTCGCGCTGTCTAAATTTCGCGATTTCCACGCGGTCGCGAATTTCGCAGAAATTAGACTATCGCAATAATATCACTGTTTACAGTACTGGGATTCATATCATTGTACTCAGCATCCAGAAGACTACAGCTATAGTCCACAAGCCAAGGTGCCAAAAAGTGACTTTTCGCTCCCGTTCAAGGGGGACAAAGGTTTGCCATGTGCAAATGATAGAGAATGCGTAGAGCTTTCAGGATCTGTGTGACTTGACCCAGAAACATGGGCTTTGTTGACCAAATCGACGAAATACTTCTTGAAGAGTGTTACCATAGCAACCAAAGTGATAATTCCCAATTTAGGTATCTTGCAGATTAAATACTAACAGTGTTGCTTTGGGATGAAGTAGCCAAGGCCCAGACCTAGCTGTGTACAAATTTTCATGATGATCGGAGGTGTCTTACTACCTCAATAGCATTGCTTGGAATCGAACACAATAGCGTCAATACACGGAATGCAACATAAGTCACATTTGAGAAAATATTTACAAACAAGGAGCCTGCACAAAATAGGAAATGTTGACAAGTACAGTAAGTATCGTTTATAAAGTGACCGGATATAATGATATACCGGTTATAGTGATAGAACACGTCAAAATCAAAATCAAATCAGAAAAAATACAGCTAAAATATCACTATATACACTATTATCGGCTATACCGATATATCGCTTATTGTGATGGACTTCAGGAAGCAAACCATATCAAATGTACAGGAAAATATCGCATATAATGATCAAGAGTGATGATCACAAAACAATTGTTTTTTTCGACGTACTCATGATCTCTTTTTGCACCAACCCATTATTTTACCTGCACACACATGTCCGTTTCTGGCTGTGCTACCCCTCGCAATGTGCTCCCTTTGTCTCTTGTCCGTTTCTGTATGCACATGTCCTTTTCTGGCTGCGCTACCCCTCGCTCCCTTTGTTTGGTATTGTCCTTTTCTGTATCTTTCTGACGCTTTTTGTCCGTTTCTGGCTGTGTTGCCTCTCACGATGATGTTGCCAACTCACGTACACAGCCACTCATGTCTATTTCTGGCTCTACGCAACTCGTTGGACACCGAGTACGCGAGTACGGATCCAGCTCAGGCTTTTTTTTTTGGAGAACACGCTGAAGAAGCAGCCATGCCACATGATGTATCGAAGTACTAGTACATGATTGTACAGTCTGTACTCGTACTGCACTGCCATGCACTGCTCTGTGTCATGCACCGGTACTCAGTCCGCGGAGCATGCATGCACTTTCAGCATGCTTTTTCCAGCGTGTACGCATCATTTCATGTGCAGTCATGTGCCATGTGTCGGTCAAACATGCAAATCGGCTATAGTGATGCACCGGATATAGTGATAAATTTTCGAAAATCAAAGGGGCACGTTATATCCGATATTTACTGTAGTCAAGTACTCTAGATTGATAATTTATGATTTCCCAGCATGAAGGCTCTGATTATAATAGTACTGGCATAATGGATCGGATGGAGAGCCAAGTATAAATTTATAGTCAAGAAAAAATGGACCACTAAACTACAAGAGAATGAAGTTGAAGACACCACTGCAGCTGTACTTATGGTTGATGAAATATGGTGGTAAAGACACACCTGGCAATATGGCGGTAAACACACGCCTGCCCACACACGTCTTCTCAGACATACCAAGGACACTTTAGGAGGGACTGATCACATTGGTATCTCCCGCACATTTGCACAAACTGTTTCAGACCCCATTCGGACACACCTTCACTGCCCATCTGGTCCCCATCGCCAGACTTCTATATTGGCTATCTCGCAGCCTACGGTCACCGACGTTGTAAAGATCCTTCGTAATCTCAATGCACATAAAGCTCCCGGAGCAGACGGGTTGCCTCCGATCCTTTTCAAGAAATGTCATGAAGTGATGGCAGGTTCCCTGTGTGCTCTTCTCAGGGCATCTATTGAGGAGAGTAAGTTTCCTGCGCTTTTCAAGCATGCATCCGTGAGAGCACTTTTCAAGGGCGGGGACCGCTCTGAACCGCGAAACTACCGACCTGTTTCACTTTTACCGATCGCTAGCAAAGTCCTCGAGAAGCACGTGTACAACCAATTAAGCCTTCTTCTGAGAGAGAATCCCGACATTATTCCACCCCAGCAATTTGCATACAGACGATATCACTCGTGTGAGGAGGCCCTGGCTGTTGCAATTGATAGTTGGATGAAAGATTTGGATAATGGGAAAGTTGTTGGCGTAGTGCTCGCTGATGTCAGGAAAGCGTTTGACAGCGTCAATCACCAGTTGCTGTTGAATGAGTTATTTGATTGTGGGATTGGTGACTCGGCTCTGGCATGGTTTAAAAGCTACCTGAGTGATCGAACGCAGCAGCTCATTGCACCAGAGGGCCTGCCACGCGTGCCATGTACGCAGGGTGTTCCGCAGGGGTCTGTTTTGGGACCTATCCTATTCAGCCTCTATGTCCGTGGTCTTCCCTCATGCGTCAACAGTTCCACAGTTCTGCAGTTTGCGGATGATGTTAATATGTATGCAGCTGGTGACTCTGCTGAGGAAGTCATCGGAGCTTTGAACGGAGATCTGGCCAAGCTGTCTGTCTACCTGGAAGAGAAGCGCATGACGCTGAACCCAGCAAAGACGAAGTTCCTCCTCCTTCACAGAAAGACAACAGCAGTGCCTGGTTCCGCCAGTGTCGTCATTGACGGCGTCCATGTTCTTCGAGCGCAGTCCGCACGCTATCTTGGCATTGTCATTGACGAGCACCTGACTTTTGGGCCACAAATTGACGGTTTGATTGGGTCTGTCAACAGGAAACTCGGCGCCTACCGCATGTCAAGACATCTCTTGCCATTCCACGCACGGCGTAGCTTTTACCTTAGTGTTATTCAGTCGTCATTGGAGTATGCAAGTAGCGCATACGTCCACACCCTCAGTTCTTACTATTTCGATAAGTATGTCCGGCTATTTAACAGGTGTCTAAGAATAGTTTTTGGTTTCGATAACTTTACCAGTGCCTCTCATATTCTTAGCCTATACAATCTCTCTCACATTTCTGTCCGAGTCAATTTGAAGCTTTTTATTCTTGTATTTCGCTCTGTCCATAGCGGCACATGTAGCTCCCTCCTAAAAGAAATTTTCCATACCCGCTCCTCCAGTGCACATACTACTTCCGTCACTAGGTCCCAAATCTCTTTTTCTCTGGCCTTGCCTTCTGCCCACACTAAAGCTGGTTTTTCTCGTCTTGGCTACATAGGTTCTGATCGGTGGAATATGCTGCCTTCCACTGTTCGCTCTTGTACAGATTATCGCCCATTTGTTCGTTCATGCTTAACCTTTCTAGGGGCTCCCGTAAGAAGACCATAGGTCTGTGGGAAACACCCTAGTAAAATAAATAAAATAATAATAATAATAATAACACGCTCTCTACGCTGCACAGTTCTGGCACAGAGCTCTCCTTCGCACCACCACCACCATCAGTTCGCGCCTGGCGCCTCGTCGATGCATGGTTAGCGGTATCCGACATGGCAGGCTGGTACATCAAGTAGCGCATGGCACATAGAAGATGACACAGCAACGACATTGCTCGATTGCGACGTACGTTTCGTCCCCGCTGGACTCATCAGGCAAACTTCTTCTTGGATGTCTTCATACGGAGCTTAACTCGGGAGAATGAAGTTGAAGACACCACTGCAGCTGTACTTATGGTTGATGAAATATGGTGGTAAAGACACACCTGGCAATATGGCGGTAAACACACGCCTGCCCACACACGCTCTCTAAGCTGCACAGTTCTGGCACAGAGCTCTCCTTCGCACCACCACCACCATCAGTTCGCGCCTGGCGCCTCTGTGAGGGAGAAGGAACTTCGTTTTTGCTGGGTTCAGCGTCATGCGCTTCCCTTTCAGGTAGGCAGACAGCTTGAGCAGATCTCCGTTCAACGTTCCTATGACTTCCTCAGCAGAGTCACCAGCTGCGTACATATTCACATCATCCGCAAACTGCAGAACTGTGGAATTGTTCTGCAGACCACGGACATAGAGGCTGAATAGGACAGGCCCCAAAACAGACTCCTGCGGAACACCCTGCGTGCATGGCACGCGTGGCAGGCCCTCTGGTGCAATGAGCTGCTGCGTTCGATCACTCAGGTAGCTTTTAAACCATGCCAGAGCCGAGTCACCAATCCCACAATCAAATAACTTATTCGACAGCAACTGGTGATTGACGCTATCAAACACTTTCCTGACATCAGCAAGCACTACGCCAACAACCTTCCCATTATCCAAATCTTTCATCCAGCTATCAATTATAACACAATTGCAACAGTCAGGGCCTCCTTACACGAATGATATCGTCTGTATGCAAATTGCTGGGGTAGAATGTCAGGATTCTCTTGGAAGGCTGTTGGAGTGCGCATCCAAGATGCGCCAGAGCTTTTAGCCAGTTAGTTGTAGAACGTCAGTACAGTCGGTCAGTGTCGTGCAATGTTATCGTATGAGCTGATTGTTTAGTAACTGCTGGTGTTAGTGGACATTATAGCGCAACTTGTAGTTTAGTGGTCCTTTTTTTCTTTACTATAAATTTATCCTTGGCTCTCCATCTGAGTCCATTCTTGCACACCTGATGAGCCGTCCTTATCTATACGGCGAAACGATCGTCGTGTAAAACTGCTGCTTGTTACCCACTGCTTATTGTCCATTATTATTATTATTAAATTTTTGAAAGGGCGAAGCGAGAAACAGATGTGCATAGGCGAATCTAAATTGCCATAGTTGAAGTACAGTACTATTTTACTGAGGCATACGGTTTTGCATGATTCTTGTTCGCATACATGTAGCTTCCCATTTTATTGATCTTCGCATCTTTGAGCCACACAAGTTGTGTGGAATGTTGCTTTGCGTCCTTGAATCGTGGTTTGACCGTATTGTCCAGTGGTCTTGCCAGTATCGTCATCGACATGCATGAACATCCGCCAACGACGTCCTTCACAGCTGAGACTTTCCGCCTTCATGCTAGGAATCATAAAGTATCCTTCTAGTGTGCTTGACTACTTGTCAACATTTCCTATTTTGTGCAGGCTCCTTGTTTGTAAATATTTTCTCAAATGTGACTTATGTTGCATTCCGTGTATTGACGCTATTGTGTTCGATTCCAAGCAATGCTATTGAGGTAGTAAGACACCTCCGATCATCATGAAAATTTGTACACAGCTAGGTCTGGGCCTTGGCTACTTCATTCCAAAGCAACACTGTTAGTATTTAATCTGCAAGATACCTAAATTGGGAATTATCACTTTGGTTGCTATGGTAACACTCTTCAAGAAGTATTTCGTCGATTTGGTCAACAAAGCCCCATGTTTCTGGGTCAAGTCACACAGTTCCTGAAAGCTCTACGCATTCTCTATCATTTGCACATGGCAAACCTTTGTCCCCCTTGAACGGGAGCGAAAAGAGCGAATAGTCACTTTTTTGCACCTTGGCCTGTGGACTACTATCGGAGTTTTTATTTTCACCCTGAAGTACCGTAGACTTCCTCTTTGAAAGACTTGTCAGATACCGACGCAAATTGGGACGCAAAAGGGAACCAAAGAAACGGCAAATTGAGTCATCTTTCCAGGATCCCTTCAGAATCTCTCTCCAATCTACGGGGAGACACGTGAGCAGTTTCCGGCCGTGAGCAAGCGCCAGTACAGGTGCAAATGTGTGTGTGTGTGTGTTCATGCGTGGGCAATCCCGCTTCTGCCCCGTCTGACACCGCTACCAGCCTGATCGTGGATGGATGTTCAAGGTTCAGGGTGAACGTGCACATATAAAATACGAGTGTTTGTGTGTCTGGGCCATCAAAGGCCTACGTCCTGTGCGTCCCTAGCTTGTAGATTGTTTCATTCGTCTTCGGAAATGAGAATACGTTTCTACCGATATGAAAAGACTAACCGGAGGAAGTGACGGGTCTTTGGCCATCTCCGCTTTCTTCTCCCAGAGCGCCACTTGCTTCCTCGCTACAGCATTCTGTTGTCCTTCGAGCTGTGTAAAATCCCATCCGCACGCACATACCGCACACGTCTAAACAGACACAAGCGAAACCGCCAAAGCACAGAAACAAACACTTTGAAGATACGATTTTTCTTCAAAGAAAATAGAGCGCTTAAAGAATAGGACTTGAGCTTGCACAAGTTAGCAATGGAACGAGACTAAACACACTATTTTTCTTCAGCTGGTGCATAGAAAGTAGAAACTGGCACCCATCTACATGCACGCATGCACACACGCACACATGTACAGTGAAACCTGCCTAAGGCGACCCCTCAAGGGACGAGAAAAAGTGGTCGGCGTGGCCAGGTGGTCTTCTTATCCAGGTTCAGTGGGTCACGTGACCTTATCCACATGTGATACATCATTTTGATCAGTGCATCACACCTATGCTACTCTAGCACGGCCAGTGTTCCTGGGGTCCGCAGACCTGTCAAATGCCGTACATGCACCATGCATGCACATGTACATCTACACTTCCTGCACTGATGTGTAGATCTACCATGCCTGGTTGCTGGTGCACCATGCAATGCGTACATTTACATGACTAGCACTGTGCAACGCGGTCGCGGGTGGGTGGTCGTCGGACGCGTTGAGCGAGTGGTCGCCTTATCCAAGGTGTTTTGAATGTGAATGCGTCCGCGACAAGGAAAAGTGGTCGCCATGGTCGAGTGGTCGCCATATCCGAGTGGTCGCCATATCCGAGTGGTCGCCATATCCGAGTGGTCGCCATATCCGAGTGGTCGCCATATCCGAGTGGTCGCCATATCCGAGTGGTCGCCATATCCGAGTGGTCGCCATATCCGAGTGGTCGCCATTACAGGTTTTATTGTACGCACAGAAAAGAAGTTGGAATTCCTATCTCAGCAAAGGCTGTGTGCAAGAAATCACTGAAGAGTTTTAAAGGGGAAGTTAAGGCAAAAATTAAAATTTCACCAGTTGTAGTCTTCGGGGTGCTGAGTCGAATGGTCGTGGTCCGAGGAAGCTGAGACGCTCCCTTCCTACTTGAATACCAATCGAACTCGCGCACTTCCACCGAAACTGGGTGACTGCGCCCTACTAGATGGGGATTTGTATGCAAAATGTCACTAAAAGCGCCATTTCGTTCTTATAAAAGCACGGATGACCGCGATTGGCCCATATGTTGTAGTCTTTTGGACGCTGAGTCGACTGGTTTTGGTCCGAAAAGGCTGCGATGCAGCGTTCCGCCTTTATTCCCAATCGAACATGGTTGAACAAGCGGTCACGTGCTCCTGCGTACGCCAGTCACCTGGTCACGGTGCCTGCAGGGTACAACTTACTAGCCTGTTTGACCTTTTTTGGGTGCAGTCCTGTCACTCGAGTTGAACTCGAGTTGAACCTTGGTGTGAAAGTTCTCACCTGCTGGCGTGGTGACCAGGTGATTTGGGCACCCAGGAGCACGTGACCACTTGTTCAACCATGTTCGATTGGGAATAAAGGAGGAACGCTGCATCGCAGCCTTTTCGGACCAAAACCAGTCGACTCAGCGTCCAAAAGACTACAACATATGGGCCAATCGCGGTCATCCGTGCTTTTATAAGAACGAAATGGCGCTTTTAGTGACATTTTGCATACAAATCCCCATCTCGTAGGGCGCAGTCACCCAGTTTCGGTGGAAGTGCGCGAGTTCGATTGGGATTCAAGTAGGAAGGGAGCGTCTCAGCTTCCTCGGACCACGACCATTCGACTCAGCACCCCGAAGACTACAACTGGTGAAATTTTAATTTTTGCCTTAACTTCCCCTTTAACTTGATGAAGTTGTTTGTTTGTTCGTGCGTGGAACACACGCTTCCTGCCGTGCTTCACACTTGACTGACTCACAACTGCCAAATCCGGAGCACACGAGGAGCACGTTACACTTTCCCTGATGACTGATGTGCTCCTCGTGTGCTCCAGACTGCAGTCGTGAGTCCGTCAAGTGTCCTGTTCGGCAGGAAGCGGGCATTTCAACGGGACAAGCAACTTCATCCGCTGATACCGGCAAAGTTGGAAATTCTAATTTTGTTCAAAGTCGGAGAATGTGAAATCGGAGGCGAGTGGTGCAATAATCTAATTAGTTGGCCTGTAGCAATGTCCTTGCAGTTACGTGGCAGACAACGATGGAAGTGAAGAAACTGGGCGCGTTGCATCTCCCAGCAGTTGTCCGTTTTCTCAAGATAACAATCCAAATTGGTGATGCACAAGTAATATAGGGAACAACTGACAAATCTCAAACAATGTTTTCTGAAGCGGCTGCACCACCGTGGAGCTAGCGCACCATAATACATGTCAAGCAGATTTCGTTTTTGGGTTTTGATCAGGGCAATGCCAATGAATTAACTCCATGGTCACTAGAATGTTTAGACTTTGGTCTCATCTCTTACCTGGAAAGTGCTACCTTCGAACTAGTCAGGGAGCCGACCTTCAAAAAAGTGGCGCTCCAGGTCGGGCGAGATGGAGTACAAGATCTCTTCAGCAATGGGTTATGGGTCTATCAGAGAAGGGCTTTCGAGTTCTTGGCCACCGTCAGTTCACTGCATCTGCAATGTCTTGACACCGAGGTGCTGCTGGCCGTGCAATCAATGCCAATGGTCAACTGCATACTAGCCCAGACAGGCAGATACAGGGGTTGCAGTGCTGGCAAGTGCATTGGCGCTTATATTATAGGACCATCGCAAAAGTTCCCACAAGCCCCTGAAACATGGAAACGAAGAGCATACGGGGGGGGAGGGAGTCGGTGTCGAAAATCGCAAACCGGGCTTCAAAAAAGTATTGACGACATGTAGGAGCTGATATAGATTAGCATGCCATCACAGCCGGCGTAGATCGCTTGTCAGGACGCGTAGTCCATTCGCTCAAAGGATGCGACGGGCCCGTCTTCCCCCCAGATGAAACAGATGAAACAAGATGAAACGAGATGAAACGAGATGAAACAAGATGAAACAAGATGAAACGCCAATGTACGGGCGCAGATGGGGCCGAGATGAAACGAAATGAAACAAGATGAAACAAGATGAAACAAGATGAAACAAGATGAAACCAAAATGAAACTCGAAGTACGGGCGTAGATGGGCCGCGAATGAAACAAGATGAAACAAGATGAAACAATGTACGGGCGGAGATGGGCCGCGCGCAGTGCACCCGGCGTGACGTGCACGAGCGAAAAGAACTGAATTAATCCAATCATTGAAATAATTGTTTGCAGAGGCAATTCGCGCAAGGGAGGTATAGGAATTTGATGGCTTGCGAGTGACAGCACGAGCCGAATTTATTGCCCGTGGAAGTACCCACGATAGGAATACACTGTTGGGAACATGGTGGCGCCGCTGACGGTACCTATGTAAGTGGAATTACTTTATTGGAAGTACCCATGACGGGGAAAATAGTCTCTCTAGTATTGTCGGTGAATGGTGATGGTGGTGGTGGCGATGGCTACTTTCCTCTGCTCAGAGAGAACCCCTGCATGTCCTTCGTCGTGATGCGAAAGAGCAGTGGATGCAGGTAAAGGCCGTGTCAGAGAATTTCGCCTAGTGCTGTGGCCAGGGTGAAAATAAATTAGGGCTGAAACGATCATTCAATAACTCCAAGCGATCAACCAATCTCTTTAGCGATGAATATCATTGTAACATAGAAAAATGTGGGCACAAGTTATGCAATCGAGTCCACCAACTAAACCAGATTTCGAATAGTCAGACGTGCACAATCTAGCACAAAACTGACAAGGAGTATGAGTACTGAGACATTGAGATCAATTATAATTGTTGGTTCATAATTATAGATTCTTTCCGGCTGTAGTCGTGCACCTCGAACACAAGACTATGAAGAAATTCCATGATGCCTTTGCTACATTAGCTGTGGCCACCAGTCAAACACTCTAAATATACCCAGGCTACCGCTCAGTGTTTGGTATTCTGTAAACATTTCAGGCAATTGTGTCGACACCTGTAGACATCTGACTGGTCTAAAGCCTAGTTCACATTCGACGTAACACTGACGGTACAGGACGTAAGGGCCTGTCGGGACGGCTGGGGTGAGCTGTAAAATCTTTTACGATTCGTACGACACGACATGCTGCAGTCGTTGCGATGTTCTCCAGCGAACGGCGCGAGTCATAAGGCATAGTCCGTGACGGGGTGACTTTCGGACCTAATTTCTTGTTTTTCGGGACTTCTTTTCAATTATTTCTCCTTGAATGAAGCGAAATCAAATTCACAATACCAGTTTTTCATGGAGACAAAAAAGTAGCCCTGAAAGTTGTGCCATTCGAATAGTAGCCCTAGGAAATGATAAAACAGTTCATCTGTCATTCTCCTAAACTATCCCTAAATACCATAAGTGACATGAGATCTTATCTTGCTAAAATTCAACTCAAGTCGTGTTAGCCATTCTGCGAGTTATCATGGGAAGCGCAGTGTTCGAAATCCTAAAAATTTCCCAGTACGAATCGGGAGTGGATGGCGCACGCCGCCGCCTCCTGTTCTCACTCAAAATGCAGCCGTTTTGTACGCTTGCGTCTCCGTCTATGCCCGTCTACGGTATGAAAAGTTGAACTGATCCAACACTTCCCGTCGCTTCCCGATCCGTACGGTAGTATGGTTGCGTTCCCGTTCCTGGTGTTCACATTGGACGCCGTCAGACCGTCCTGTCGCTTCCCATCGATCCTTACGCCGCGTCCCGTCGAATTTGAACTAGGCTTTATCAATATGAACTAGAGGAGTTCATGTTGTTGTTTCTAGAACGAAGAATCAGGCTTGTCGTCACCCTTTGGCTTGAAGCTCTTATCACCAACTTCCGCAACGAATCAATCGAAAAGATACCGTCTTGACTCCCGATCTCTTTCATAGCCACGCATCAATATTACTGCGCTTGAAAGTACACGATTGCACTCGTATCCACAATTGGATGGAGTGCAAGGGCTAGAATACTGCCACTGGTATGCATGCATGAAAAATCGTTTGCATTCGCTTTGAACACTAACGATTATCGATTGCGCTCTTAAAACGATCGGTTTGCGAGTTATCTGTATACTTGTTTCAGCCCTAAATGCATTGCCCTCGTAGAGGACAGGGATGAGCAGTGATATGAGCAGGGATGTGAGTACTGATGTGCCTTTCGTCATCATATTTTACAGAGAAGACGTCTGCCCCGAATAATAAAATTAATGTAGTAATGATAATGTGTTGCCCTTTCATCTTCTCAGGAGCCCTATGCCTTTGCCTCTTCTCCCCTGGACTGAATGGACTGGACGCTCTGTCCAGTAGTGTCCAGTAAATGATTTGTAGTGTAAGTTAGGGTGCACTCTCTCTTGAGGATTTGCCCACCTTGATGATTGTGCTCTTCGTGTTATTAGAAAATGTCTCTACCTGCCAGGATGGTATAAGAGCACGAACTGAATCACCTGTTGGTGCAGAAGGCTTGGAGGACTGCTTTTGAAACAGTTGTTCAAATTTCCTGCACCTCTTCGTAGCCGTTGTCTGATTGCTGCATTCTGGGGAGACTGAAGTTAAGGTTAGTGAAGCTGCACAGTCCCCGTGGAAATGTTTATGCTGCAACTATTTACTGCTGACATGTATTTATGTATTTCAGGAATCTCCAGAGGGTGAAGGCTTGCTGCAAGCTCCGTCCCTTCAATGTCGTGATACATCCGTAGATCAGTCGTGTGCCTGTCCTGTGCTTTTATGAGCATGCTCCTTTGCACATGCCTTTGTCCTGTGCATGCGTGGGCGCGCGCACGCGCGCGTGTGTGTGTGTGTGTGTGTGTGTGTACGCCAACGACACCGTCCGTGCACATGTGCATGGACGTGAGTTTGTGCGTTTGCCTTTGTTATATGCATACAGTATTATCAATAATTATTTATCATGCCTATACAAGCCTTGCCAGTGTCTCGATAGGAGAAGCAGATACATGATTACACCACTTGGGTTTTGACCTTCTTTGGCCGGGGCGAATGTCGAAGGAAAGACTCCCTCTGGGCCAAGGTGTTGGCGACAGTTGAGAGTTGTCCTCTATTTTGCAGCGGGGGACAGCATGGCATATTTGGTGCCGGAAAGAGTGCAGTTGCACTTTTCATGTTACTGTAAAATTTGCTAGGTCAATCCCTTGAAGCTGGAGACTGCTGATACTGCTGCTCAAACGGCTGCTGCTGTTACTCTCTGCTGCTACCATGGTCGTTGCTTTGTATCAATGGCGAAAATTCTCAGATGAGCTTTGGGTCCGGGCACTAGAACCCTGCTGCTGCCTCTGCAGCAGTTGTAGAAAGTTTTATAATACCAGTGTCGATGGTGAACTTCTGCTCTTTTTTTTATCCCAGACACTTTGTGCTCAAGAGACTGTTAGGTCTTTGTGGTGTTGTCGTTGCTGTTTGGTTATACTAGTTGGCGTCTGTTTGGAAATATATTGTGCTTTTCTGTGTGTTCATGTGAACGTAGAAGCCCTCACCGAAACCAACACTACGTTGCTGTGTTGTTTTCTTCCAAGGTCGGGCACAGTAAAGGAGACGACTCTGTGAGTATATTCGCAGATGAACTTTGGGTTAATAGAATGCAGGTGCTGCTGCTCTTGTGCCAGGCTGTTGGTGTCAATGATGGGGTGGATCATGCTTTCTCTTTATATACCTTTTGTATATTTGTGTGTAATTAGGAGCACATACCAACACGTAATCTTTCTAAAGCCTAGTTCTCTTTCGACGCAACGCTGACGGTACGGGACGTAAGGGCCTGTGACGGCTGAGGTGAGCTGTAAAATCTTGTACAATTCGTACGACACGACATACTCCAGTCTTTGCGATGTTCAACAGCGAATGGTGCGAGTCATAAGGCACAGTCCGTGACGGGGTGACCGTCCCGGCGTTTCCCGTCGATCCTTATGTCGCGTCCCGTTGCGCCCCGTCGAATGTGAACTGGGCTTAACAATGGCATGGAGACAGTTTCAATTGCAGTTTAATGTTACTGCACTGCACTGCAGGTATCAAGGCACTACCCAGAGGGAGGATGTTGGCCTTCTCCTGATGGGAAAATGTCTTCTTTCTCATGGCGTGGCCAGGACTGCACTGACCCTACCATCCACTCTACCTCTCCGGAAAGGGACTTGACAACCAGTCAAGATGGATGTGCAGAGATATACCAGCGGTAAGTCACATGCTTAGGATATCCACTTGATGAAGGAAGGACAGGTGCTCAACTACTACACCAAAATGTGAGCATAAGGAGATGGGCTGATGGGTCATGGGTGGGTGACAGGTCTTTGCCCGGTTGCTGGAGTATAACAACCTGGGTCTTTGATTGGTTTAGGACAGGTCTTTGCCCGGTTGCTGGAGTATAACAACCTGGGTCTTTGATTGGTTTAGAAGCGGTCCGCTCTATTTGGGGTGCCATCCTCAATTAGACGGGCAGTGAAGATCTTGCAGGATCAATCGCACATGTAGAATATGGACATGTGGATGCGGGCAGCAGATCTGTAATTTCCAGTATCAAAGTTCAGTTGTATTTGCTTTTCTTTATTTTCTATTTGTGATGTTGTTCACTGCAGCTTCTAGCATTAACTGCCAATTTGCACTGACGCAGCAAGACTCCCAACAGTCAAGTATGTTTCATTGCATGCACTAGGATTACAGTAGAATGCCGATTATCCGAATGTCAACTGTCCAAACGGTCAATTATCCGAAATTCCTGTTTGCACTGAATTCAATTCAATAAGTCGACTTATACCGGTAAAATATGGTAACAGCGGGACTGTAGGGTGTGGCATTTCCATGATACAGTGGAAAATTTCACGATTTTTGGTGCAAACATAGGTCGGACGCTGCTCGATTGGATATACAATGCAGGTTCTTGGAACCACGGACACGACTCTTCGATTCAAGGATCACAACACTTCGGGATCTTAACGTTTTAGGTCCGGGAGCTGTTCGCGGTTTTGTCGCTTGTCACGGTTGTGGACTCATCGTTGTAGCATAAATGAGGCTGGACTATTCCAAGCGGAAAACTAAAAATATTTCCTTCTCAAAGCACAATCACCGGCCCGGAGGAGCACACCTTCTCTAACTACATACCGGGTGCAGTACATGACACGTCCGTGTATTGACTAGTCTCTTGTACATTAATTTTAGATCTACCACACGACTCGCGTAGCGCTAGCACAGCAGTGCGGGTGTAGTCATGTACTACTACTACTACAGTACTGCCGGGCGCCGAAGAACGGACCGCCGATGAACGGCCAGGCTATGATTTCGCTATTTTTTAAGAACGGTCTAGGTAGAAACGTGATGTACAATATGAATATGATGTACACTCAGCCGTATAACTCTGCATAAATGTACATGTAAGACTGTACCATCGAATATGAACGAAACTGCTGTGTTCGCCAAAAATAAGAACGGGCTAGGCTAGAACCCTGACCCCGTTCTTCGGTGCGCGGCAGTACTGTAGTGTAGTGTTCCGTATGTTTGTTGACTATGGCATGCACGCAGAAGCCAGCGGATGTAAAAAGTCCAACTCGGAAACGGCTAAAAACGGGGTATCCTCAAATTTTGCCGAGCTGAAAATCACAGGGTACGTAGGGCTTGTAACAGTGAGTCGAATGCTCTTGGTCCGAAGAAGCTGCGACAGATGGTTCTCAAATCGAACGCGTTTCGAATATTGGCCATTTTGCACACAAATAGATGGTGTGGCTACCTGGCTGCACACTGTGACCTTATCACCTGGATCAGGTAGACTGCGTGCTCGCTTTCGCTCATTTTCGATTGGGCGTATCTGACGAACCATGGACCGCAGCCTCCTCGGAAAAGAACATTCGACTCAGCGCCCCAAACTCTACGGGTCCTGAAATTAAAAAAATTCAGCAGACTTCCCCTCTAATACGTAAGGCAGAACTTATTACAGTCCTTGATTAGAAGTTGACATATTCTTGTACGAATCCGGTGGCAGCCACAACAATGTCTTTTGTGAAAAATGTATGCAAGCCTTTTAAAAAGCATCTCCCACCAGGCATTCGATCGAATTTTTCATGGCGTGGAGATTTGTTACGGCGTGAACCGATGCTTGGCGTGTAGAATTTGCTTTTTGATGTGTTCTTTGGAAGATGCAGTCTTAAAAATGGTGTGGATGTCTTTGTTTCTGTCCTTCTGCTGTCCTCGTAGAAAGAATAATATAGACGTGCAGAAAATGTAGGAGAGCGATGACATCAGAAGGACACTCTCAGGTTCAGGGTACCTGTACTGCCCCAATAAATTGGGTCAGATCCCAAAACGAGGTTGGCCGAAGCAAAAAAAATAGAAGAGCCTGCCTTGAATTGAATATGAGGAAGAAGAAGAAGACAAAGAAAGAAAAAGAGTAGGAATTTGCTTGTGTAAACTTTGTTTCCTCTGTCTAGGCTGCCATCGCATTATAGCAGCCAACAGTGTGTGTGTGTGTGTGTGTGTGTGTGTGTGTGTGTGTGTGTGTGTGTGTGTGTGTGTGTGTGTGTGTGTGTGTGTGTGTGTGTGTGTGTGTGTGTGTGTGTGTGTGTGTGTGTGTGTGTGTGTGTGTGTGTGTGTGTGTGTGTGTGTGTGTGTGTGTGTGTGTGTGTGTGTGTGTGTGTGTGTGTGTGTGTGTGTGTGTGTGTGTGTGTGTGTGTGTGTGTGTGTGTGTGTGTGTGTGTGTGTGTGTGTGTGTGTGTGTGTGTGTGTGTGTGTGTGTGTGTGTGTGTGTGTGTGTGTGTGTGTGTGTGTGTGTGTGTGTGTGTGTGTGTGTGTGTGTGTGTGTGTGTGTGTGTGTGTGTGTGTGTGTGTGTGTGTGTGTGTGTGTGTGTGTGTGTGTGTGTGTGTGTGTGTGTGTGTGTGTGTGTGTGTGTGTGTGTGTGTGTGTGTGTGTGTGTGTGTGTGTGTGTGTGTGTGTGTGTGTGTGTGTGTGTGTGTGTGTGTGTGTGTGTGTGTGTGTGTGTGTGTGTGTGTGTGTGTGTGTGTGTGTGTGTGTGTGTGTGTGTGTGTGTGTGTGTGTGTGTGTGTGTGTGTGTGTGTGTGTGTGTGTGTGTGTGTGTGTGTGTGTGTGTGTGTGTGTGTGTGTGTGTGTGTGTGTGTGTGTGTGTGTGTGTGTGTGTGTGTGTGTGTGTGTGTGTGTGTGTGTGTGTGTGTGTGTGTGTGTGTGTGTGTGTGTGTGTGTGTGTGTGTGTGTGTGTGTGTGTGTGTGTGTGTGTGTGTGTGTGTGTGTGTGTGTGTGTGTGTGTGTGTGTGTGTGTGTGTGTGTGTGTGTGTGTGTGTGTGTGTGTGTGTGTGTGTGTGTGTGTGTGTGTGTGTGTGTGTGTGTGTGTGTGTGTGTGTGTGTGTGTGTGTGTGTGTGTGTGTGTGTGTGTGTGTGTGTGTGTGTGTGTGTGTGTGTGTGTGTGTGTGTGTGTGTGTGTGTGTGTGTGTGTGTGTGTGTGTGTGTGTGTGTGTGTGTGTGTGTGTGTGTGTGTGTGTGTGTGTGTGTGTGTGTGTGTGTGTGTGTGTGTGTGTGTGTGTGTGTGTGTGTGTGTGTGTGTGTGTGTGTGTGTGTGTGTGTGTGTGTGTGTGTGTGTGTGTGTGTGTGTGTGTGTGTGTGTGTGTGTGTGTGTGTGTGTGTGTGTGTGTGTGTGTGTGTGTGTGTGTGTGTGTGTGTGTGTGTGTGTGTGTGTGTGTGTGTGTGTGTGTGTGTGTGTGTGTGTGTGTGTGTGTGTGTGTGTGTGTGTGTGTGTGTGTGTGTGTGTGTGTGTGTGTGTGTGTGTGTGTGTGTGTGTGTGTGTGTGTGTGTGTGTGTGTGCATATGTGTGTGTGTGTTTGCGTCTGTGTGCACACGCTTGTGTGTGTGTGTGTGTGTGTGTGTGTGTGTTTGCATGTGTGTATATTCTGCTAATCTTGACTTAAATTTCCACATCTGGGCATATTGTGTTCTGCATGTGAATTTATCTTCATTAACTTGTGCACTACGTTCCTTTCTTCACGTTACGGCACTTTAGTATCGTTTTACTTGAACATCATACTCTCGCCCAACTTTGTTTCACCAACAAAGGTTTATTCTCCAAAGTATTTCTAATTGATTGTGTATGAGTTTCATACTACTGTCAGGGGCGTCGGAAGGTATTTTAGTGTGGTACGGTCAGCCATCTGAAGTACAATTGACTCGTGGGGGAGTGGTGGCTGAGCCGAAAATTTTGGAATTTTAGATCCCAGATCAGTGTATTTTGTTGACTCACGGGTATTTGGGGCAAAAAGTGGTACGGTCAATACCGTAGTGACCGTACCGGTCAATACCGTAGTGACCGTACCGTGTGCGACGCCCCTGACTGTTGGAATCCACCAGCTGTGTTTCCTTGAGGGGCGTATCCTTACCTGGGATGTGTTTTCTCATTCCCGGCAGCAGAAAGAGCTCTACAATATGTATATAATTTAAGAATAGAATTTGATGTACAGGAGAGTGCCGATTATCCCCACCCCTCGGGACGCGGGCTGTCTCCAGAGGGTTCAGATGAGAAGAATGTTCGGATAAGAGAGCAGTCACACATCTATCTAAATCATGCATATTCCAGCATGTTTTCATCATTTTCGTTCTCTTCAGCAGTGAAACAGGAACTAGGTGCACTCATGCTCCTCTAAATTAATGACACTATTATTACACATTTTGACTCAAACCTGTTTTAATACATCTTGTGAATCGCTTCAATGGTGCCCCGAGCGACGAAAATCACTAACTTTGAAACTCATCTTCTACCCCTCAATTAAATGCAAGCAATTATTTTGGATAATTAATCATTTGGATAGTTGACATTAGGATAATCGGCACATTGTGTGTGATGGGGGGGGGGGGGGAGGAAGAGGAGGAGGCTGCGAGAGGCCGTGGTGGACGTGTACCGGCTTGTGCACAGCCTGGAAATAGCCTCACTTTAGATGTATGCACATTCAAACGGTGGATGCTTCCCGCCATCCTTTTCCCCCTCTTTTTCCTTTTCCCGCCATTCTTTACCCCCTCTTTTTCAATTTCCCGCTCTTCTTTTCCCCCTCTTTTTCCCCCTTTTTCTCCCTTTTCTGCGAGAAGATTAGCCCCCTCCTTCAAAGGATGCGACGGGCCCGTCTTCCCCCCAGATGAAACAGATGAAACAAGATGAAACGAGATGAAACGAGATGAAACAAGATGAAACAAGATGAAACGCCAATGTACGGGCGCAGATGGGGCCGAGATGAAACGAAATGAAACAAGATGAAACAAGATGAAACAAGATGAAACAAGATGAAACCAAAATGAAACTCGAAGTACGGGCGTAGATGGGCCGCGAATGAAACAAGATGAAACAAGATGAAACAATGTACGGGCGGAGATGGGCCGCGCGCAGTGCACCCGGCGTGACGTGCACGAGCGAAAAGAACTGAATTAATCCAATCATTGAAATAATTGTTTGCAGAGGCAATTCGCGCAAGGGAGGTATAGGAATTTGATGGCTTGCGAGTGACAGCACGAGCCGAATTTATTGCCCGTGGAAGTACCCACGATAGGAATACACTGTTGGGAACATGGTGGCGCCGCTGACGGTACCTATGTAAGTGGAATTACTTTATTGGAAGTACCCATGACGGGGAAAATAGTCTCTCTAGTATTGTCGGTGAATGGTGATGGTGGTGGTGGCGATGGCTACTTTCCTCTGCTCAGAGAGAACCCCTGCATGTCCTTCGTCGTGATGCGAAAGAGCAGTGGATGCAGGTAAAGGCCGTGTCAGAGAATTTCGCCTAGTGCTGTGGCCAGGGTGAAAATAAATTAGGGCTGAAACGATCATTCAATAACTCCAAGCGATCAACCAATCTCTTTAGGAAAAATGTGGGCACAAGTTATGCAATCGAGTCCACCAACTAAACCAGATTTCGAATAGTCAGACGTGCACAATCTAGCACAAAACTGACAAGGAGTATGAGTACTGAGACATTGAGATCAATTATAATTGTTGGTTCATAATTATAGATTCTTTCCGGCTGTAGTCGTGCACCTCGAACACAAGACTATGAAGAAATTCCATGATGCCTTTGCTACATTAGCTGTGGCCACCAGTCAAACACTCTAAATATACCCAGGCTACCGCTCAGTGTTTGGTATTCTGTAAACATTTCAGGCAATTGTGTCGACACCTGTAGACATCTGACTGGTCTAAAGCCTAGTTCACATTCGACGTAACACTGACGGTACAGGACGTAAGGGCCTGTCGGGACGGCTGGGGTGAGCTGTAAAATCTTTTACGATTCGTACGACACGACATGCTGCAGTCGTTGCGATGTTCTCCAGCGAACGGCGCGAGTCATAAGGCATAGTCCGTGACGGGGTGACTTTCGGACCTAATTTCTTGTTTTTCGGGACTTCTTTTCAATTATTTCTCCTTGAATGAAGCGAAATCAAATTCACAATACCAGTTTTTCATGGAGACAAAAAAGTAGCCCTGAAAGTTGTGCCATTCGAATAGTAGCCCTAGGAAATGATAAAACAGTTCATCTGTCATTCTCCTAAACTATCCCTAAATACCATAAGTGACATGAGATCTTATCTTGCTAAAATTCAACTCAAGTCGTGTTAGCCATTCTGCGAGTTATCATGGGAAGCGCAGTGTTCGAAATCCTAAAAATTTCCCAGTACGAATCGGGAGTGGATGGCGCACGCCGCCGCCTCCTGTTCTCACTCAAAATGCAGCCGTTTTGTACGCTTGCGTCTCCGTCTATGCCCGTCTACGGTATGAAAAGTTGAACTGATCCAACACTTCCCGTCGCTTCCCGATCCGTACGGTAGTATGGTTGCGTTCCCGTTCCTGGTGTTCACATTGGACGCCGTCAGACCGTCCTGTCGCTTCCCATCGATCCTTACGCCGCGTCCCGTCGAATTTGAACTAGGCTTTATCAATATGAACTAGAGGAGTTCATGTTGTTGTTTCTAGAACGAAGAATCAGGCTTGTCGTCACCCTTTGGCTTGAAGCTCTTATCACCAACTTCCGCAACGAATCAATCGAAAAGATACCGTCTTGACTCCCGATCTCTTTCATAGCCACGCATCAATATTACTGCGCTTGAAAGTACACGATTGCACTCGTATCCACAATTGGATGGAGTGCAAGGGCTAGAATACTGCCACTGGTATGCATGCATGAAAAATCGTTTGCATTCGCTTTGAACACTAACGATTATCGATTGCGCTCTTAAAACGATCGGTTTGCGAGTTATCTGTATACTTGTTTCAGCCCTAAATGCATTGCCCTCGTAGAGGACAGGGATGAGCAGTGATATGAGCAGGGATGTGAGTACTGATGTGCCTTTCGTCATCATATTTTACAGAGAAGACGTCTGCCCCGAATAATAAAATTAATGTAGTAATGATAATGTGTTGCCCTTTCATCTTCTCAGGAGCCCTATGCCTTTGCCTCTTCTCCCCTGGACTGAATGGACTGGACGCTCTGTCCAGTAGTGTCCAGTAAATGATTTGTAGTGTAAGTTAGGGTGCACTCTCTCTTGAGGATTTGCCCACCTTGATGATTGTGCTCTTCGTGTTATTAGAAAATGTCTCTACCTGCCAGGATGGTATAAGAGCACGAACTGAATCACCTGTTGGTGCAGAAGGCTTGGAGGACTGCTTTTGAAACAGTTGTTCAAATTTCCTGCACCTCTTCGTAGCCGTTGTCTGATTGCTGCATTCTGGGGAGACTGAAGTTAAGGTTAGTGAAGCTGCACAGTCCCCGTGGAAATGTTTATGCTGCAACTATTTACTGCTGACATGTATTTATGTATTTCAGGAATCTCCAGAGGGTGAAGGCTTGCTGCAAGCTCCGTCCCTTCAATGTCGTGATACATCCGTAGATCAGTCGTGTGCCTGTCCTGTGCTTTTATGAGCATGCTCCTTTGCACATGCCTTTGTCCTGTGCATGCGTGGGCGCGCGCACGCGCGCGTGTGTGTGTGTGTGTGTGTGTGTGTACGCCAACGACACCGTCCGTGCACATGTGCATGGACGTGAGTTTGTGCGTTTGCCTTTGTTATATGCATACAGTATTATCAATAATTATTTATCATGCCTATACAAGCCTTGCCAGTGTCTCGATAGGAGAAGCAGATACATGATTACACCACTTGGGTTTTGACCTTCTTTGGCCGGGGCGAATGTCGAAGGAAAGACTCCCTCTGGGCCAAGGTGTTGGCGACAGTTGAGAGTTGTCCTCTATTTTGCAGCGGGGGACAGCATGGCATATTTGGTGCCGGAAAGAGTGCAGTTGCACTTTTCATGTTACTGTAAAATTTGCTAGGTCAATCCCTTGAAGCTGGAGACTGCTGATACTGCTGCTCAAACGGCTGCTGCTGTTACTCTCTGCTGCTACCATGGTCGTTGCTTTGTATCAATGGCGAAAATTCTCAGATGAGCTTTGGGTCCGGGCACTAGAACCCTGCTGCTGCCTCTGCAGCAGTTGTAGAAAGTTTTATAATACCAGTGTCGATGGTGAACTTCTGCTCTTTTTTTTATCCCAGACACTTTGTGCTCAAGAGACTGTTAGGTCTTTGTGGTGTTGTCGTTGCTGTTTGGTTATACTAGTTGGCGTCTGTTTGGAAATATATTGTGCTTTTCTGTGTGTTCATGTGAACGTAGAAGCCCTCACCGAAACCAACACTACGTTGCTGTGTTGTTTTCTTCCAAGGTCGGGCACAGTAAAGGAGACGACTCTGTGAGTATATTCGCAGATGAACTTTGGGTTAATAGAATGCAGGTGCTGCTGCTCTTGTGCCAGGCTGTTGGTGTCAATGATGGGGTGGATCATGCTTTCTCTTTATATACCTTTTGTATATTTGTGTGTAATTAGGAGCACATACCAACACGTAATCTTTCTAAAGCCTAGTTCTCTTTCGACGCAACGCTGACGGTACGGGACGTAAGGGCCTGTGACGGCTGAGGTGAGCTGTAAAATCTTGTACAATTCGTACGACACGACATACTCCAGTCTTTGCGATGTTCAACAGCGAATGGTGCGAGTCATAAGGCACAGTCCGTGACGGGGTGACCGTCCCGGCGTTTCCCGTCGATCCTTATGTCGCGTCCCGTTGCGCCCCGTCGAATGTGAACTGGGCTTAACAATGGCATGGAGACAGTTTCAATTGCAGTTTAATGTTACTGCACTGCACTGCAGGTATCAAGGCACTACCCAGAGGGAGGATGTTGGCCTTCTCCTGATGGGAAAATGTCTTCTTTCTCATGGCGTGGCCAGGACTGCACTGACCCTACCATCCACTCTACCTCTCCGGAAAGGGACTTGACAACCAGTCAAGATGGATGTGCAGAGATATACCAGCGGTAAGTCACATGCTTAGGATATCCACTTGATGAAGGAAGGACAGGTGCTCAACTACTACACCAAAATGTGAGCATAAGGAGATGGGCTGATGGGTCATGGGTGGGTGACAGGTCTTTGCCCGGTTGCTGGAGTATAACAACCTGGGTCTTTGATTGGTTTAGGACAGGTCTTTGCCCGGTTGCTGGAGTATAACAACCTGGGTCTTTGATTGGTTTAGAAGCGGTCCGCTCTATTTGGGGTGCCATCCTCAATTAGACGGGCAGTGAAGATCTTGCAGGATCAATCGCACATGTAGAATATGGACATGTGGATGCGGGCAGCAGATCTGTAATTTCCAGTATCAAAGTTCAGTTGTATTTGCTTTTCTTTATTTTCTATTTGTGATGTTGTTCACTGCAGCTTCTAGCATTAACTGCCAATTTGCACTGACGCAGCAAGACTCCCAACAGTCAAGTATGTTTCATTGCATGCACTAGGATTACAGTAGAATGCCGATTATCCGAATGTCAACTGTCCAAACGGTCAATTATCCGAAATTCCTGTTTGCACTGAATTCAATTCAATAAGTCGACTTATACCGGTAAAATATGGTAACAGCGGGACTGTAGGGTGTGGCATTTCCATGATACAGTGGAAAATTTCACGATTTTTGGTGCAAACATAGGTCGGACGCTGCTCGATTGGATATACAATGCAGGTTCTTGGAACCACGGACACGACTCTTCGATTCAAGGATCACAACACTTCGGGATCTTAACGTTTTAGGTCCGGGAGCTGTTCGCGGTTTTGTCGCTTGTCACGGTTGTGGACTCATCGTTGTAGCATAAATGAGGCTGGACTATTCCAAGCGGAAAACTAAAAATATTTCCTTCTCAAAGCACAATCACCGGCCCGGAGGAGCACACCTTCTCTAACTACATACCGGGTGCAGTACATGACACGTCCGTGTATTGACTAGTCTCTTGTTATTGACTAGTCTCTTGTACATTAATTTTAGATCTACCACACGACTCGCGTAGCGCTAGCACAGCAGTGCGGGTGTAGTCATGTACTACTACTACTACAGTACTGCCGGGCGCCGAAGAACGGACCGCCGATGAACGGCCAGGCTATGATTTCGCTATTTTTTAAGAACGGTCTAGGTAGAAACGTGATGTACAATATGAATATGATGTACACTCAGCCGTATAACTCTGCATAAATGTACATGTAAGACTGTACCATCGAATATGAACGAAACTGCTGTGTTCGCCAAAAATAAGAACGGGCTAGGCTAGAACCCTGACCCCGTTCTTCGGTGCGCGGCAGTACTGTAGTGTAGTGTTCCGTATGTTTGTTGACTATGGCATGCACGCAGAAGCCAGCGGATGTAAAAAGTCCAACTCGGAAACGGCTAAAAACGGGGTATCCTCAAATTTTGCCGAGCTGAAAATCACAGGGTACGTAGGGCTTGTAACAGTGAGTCGAATGCTCTTGGTCCGAAGAAGCTGCGACAGATGGTTCTCAAATCGAACGCGTTTCGAATATTGGCCATTTTGCACACAAATAGATGGTGTGGCTACCTGGCTGCACACTGTGACCTTATCACCTGGATCAGGTAGACTGCGTGCTCGCTTTCGCTCATTTTCGATTGGGCGTATCTGACGAACCATGGACCGCAGCCTCCTCGGAAAAGAACATTCGACTCAGCGCCCCAAACTCTACGGGTCCTGAAATTAAAAAAATTCAGCAGACTTCCCCTCTAATACGTAAGGCAGAACTTATTACAGTCCTTGATTAGAAGTTGACATATTCTTGTACGAATCCGGTGGCAGCCACAACAATGTCTTTTGTGAAAAATGTATGCAAGCCTTTTAAAAAGCATCTCCCACCAGGCATTCGATCGAATTTTTCATGGCGTGGAGATTTGTTACGGCGTGAACCGATGCTTGGCGTGTAGAATTTGCTTTTTGATGTGTTCTTTGGAAGATGCAGTCTTAAAAATGGTGTGGATGTCTTTGTTTCTGTCCTTCTGCTGTCCTCGTAGAAAGAATAATATAGACGTGCAGAAAATGTAGGAGAGCGATGACATCAGAAGGACACTCTCAGGTTCAGGGTACCTGTACTGCCCCAATAAATTGGGTCAGATCCCAAAACGAGGTTGGCCGAAGCAAAAAAAATAGAAGAGCCTGCCTTGAATTGAATATGAGGAAGAAGAAGAAGACAAAGAAAGAAAAAGAGTAGGAATTTGCTTGTGTAAACTTTGTTTCCTCTGTCTAGGCTGCCATCGCATTATAGCAGCCAACAGTGTGTGTGTGTGTGTGTGTGTGTGTGTGTGTGTGTGTGTGTGTGTGTGTGTGTGTGTGTGTGTGTGTGTGTGTGTGTGTGTGTGTGTGTGTGTGTGTGTGTGTGTGTGTGTGTGTGTGTGTGTGTGTGTGTGTGTGTGTGTGTGTGTGTGTGTGTGTGTGTGTGTGTGTGTGTGTGTGTGTGTGTGTGTGTGTGTGTGTGTGTGTGTGTGTGTGTGTGTGTGTGTGTGTGTGTGTGTGTGTGTGTGTGTGTGTGTGTGTGTGTGTGTGTGTGTGTGTGTGTGTGTGTGTGTGTGTGTGTGTGTGTGTGTGTGTGTGTGTGTGTGTGTGTGTGTGTGTGTGTGTGTGTGTGTGTGTGTGTGTGTGTGTGTGTGTGTGTGTGTGTGTGTGTGTGTGTGTGTGTGTGTGTGTGTGTGTGTGTGTGTGTGTGTGTGTGTGTGTGTGTGTGTGTGTGTGTGTGTGTGTGTGTGTGTGTGTGTGTGTGTGTGTGTGTGTGTGTGTGTGTGTGTGTGTGTGTGTGTGTGTGTGTGTGTGTGTGTGTGTGTGTGTGTGTGTGTGTGTGTGTGTGTGTGTGTGTGTGTGTGTGTGTGTGTGTGTGTGTGTGTGTGTGTGTGTGTGTGTGTGTGTGTGTGTGTGTGTGTGTGTGTGTGTGTGTGTGTGTGTGTGTGTGTGTGTGTGTGTGTGTGTGTGTGTGTGTGTGTGTGTGTGTGTGTGTGTGTGTGTGTGTGTGTGTGTGTGTGTGTGTGTGTGTGTGTGTGTGTGTGTGTGTGTGTGTGTGTGTGTGTGTGTGTGTGTGTGTGTGTGTGTGTGTGTGTGTGTGTGTGTGTGTGTGTGTGTGTGTGTGTGTGTGTGTGTGTGTGTGTGTGTGTGTGTGTGTGTGTGTGTGTGTGTGTGTGTGTGTGTGTGTGTGTGTGTGTGTGTGTGTGTGTGTGTGTGTGTGTGTGTGTGTGTGTGTGTGTGTGTGTGTGTGTGTGTGTGTGTGTGTGTGTGTGTGTGTGTGTGTGTGTGTGTGTGTGTGTGTGTGTGTGTGTGTGTGTGTGTGTGTGTGTGTGTGTGTGTGTGTGTGTGTGTGTGTGTGTGTGTGTGTGTGTGTGTGTGTGTGTGTGTGTGTGTGTGTGTGTGTGTGTGTGTGTGTGTGTGTGTGTGTGTGTGTGTGTGTGTGTGTGTGTGTGTGTGTGTGTGTGTGTGTGTGTGTGTGTGTGTGTGTGTGTGTGTGTGTGTGTGTGTGTGTGTGTGTGTGTGTGTGTGTGTGTGTGTGTGTGTGTGTGTGTGTGTGTGTGTGTGTGTGTGTGTGTGTGTGTGTGTGTGTGTGTGTGTGTGTGTGTGTGTGTGTGTGCATATGTGTGTGTGTGTTTGCGTCTGTGTGCACACGCTTGTGTGTGTGTGTGTGTGTGTGTGTGTGTGTTTGCATGTGTGTATATTCTGCTAATCTTGACTTAAATTTCCACATCTGGGCATATTGTGTTCTGCATGTGAATTTATCTTCATTAACTTGTGCACTACGTTCCTTTCTTCACGTTACGGCACTTTAGTATCGTTTTACTTGAACATCATACTCTCGCCCAACTTTGTTTCACCAACAAAGGTTTATTCTCCAAAGTATTTCTAATTGATTGTGTATGAGTTTCATACTACTGTCAGGGGCGTCGGAAGGTATTTTAGTGTGGTACGGTCAGCCATCTGAAGTACAATTGACTCGTGGGGGAGTGGTGGCTGAGCCGAAAATTTTGGAATTTTAGATCCCAGATCAGTGTATTTTGTTGACTCACGGGTATTTGGGGCAAAAAGTGGTACGGTCAATACCGTAGTGACCGTACCGGTCAATACCGTAGTGACCGTACCGTGTGCGACGCCCCTGACTGTTGGAATCCACCAGCTGTGTTTCCTTGAGGGGCGTATCCTTACCTGGGATGTGTTTTCTCATTCCCGGCAGCAGAAAGAGCTCTACAATATGTATATAATTTAAGAATAGAATTTGATGTACAGGAGAGTGCCGATTATCCCCACCCCTCGGGACGCGGGCTGTCTCCAGAGGGTTCAGATGAGAAGAATGTTCGGATAAGAGAGCAGTCACACATCTATCTAAATCATGCATATTCCAGCATGTTTTCATCATTTTCGTTCTCTTCAGCAGTGAAACAGGAACTAGGTGCACTCATGCTCCTCTAAATTAATGACACTATTATTACACATTTTGACTCAAACCTGTTTTAATACATCTTGTGAATCGCTTCAATGGTGCCCCGAGCGACGAAAATCACTAACTTTGAAACTCATCTTCTACCCCTCAATTAAATGCAAGCAATTATTTTGGATAATTAATCATTTGGATAGTTGACATTAGGATAATCGGCACATTGTGTGTGATGGGGGGGGGGGGGGAGGAAGAGGAGGAGGCTGCGAGAGGCCGTGGTGGACGTGTACCGGCTTGTGCACAGCCTGGAAATAGCCTCACTTTAGATGTATGCACATTCAAACGGTGGATGCTTCCCGCCATCCTTTTCCCCCTCTTTTTCCTTTTCCCGCCATTCTTTACCCCCTCTTTTTCAATTTCCCGCTCTTCTTTTCCCCCTCTTTTTCCCCCTTTTTCTCCCTTTTCTGCGAGAAGATTAGCCCCCTCCTTGCGCAATAGCTCTAGCTGTTCTCGTTCTTAGACCACCCACTGCAAGGTGATACCATCGTTGCATTTATAAAGTGCTGTACATTGTTACACACTGATACAACAATGCTTGTGTATGGCCAGCTCTCTGTCTGGCTCGCTTTACTGGATTCTACTATTTCTAGACTGTATTCTTCTGGCTCACTTCAGGCTCGACTCGCATTGCAAACTTCTGTTGTTATTGTGTTTCCAACTAACCAACTACTAAAGAAGAAGACTACTGAAGACTAGCCGAAAGGAAAAGCACCATGGTATAATATACAGCAGGGCAACATAAAGGCACAGCAGGCCGAGCAGGGCACATGTGAAACCAGAGACCCGGACCCGTCGAAGCATGCAAATGAGGGCCGCTCTATCGCCTGACATGAATGCATACAAAGAGAGCGTAAGCAGACAGCATTGTCGTGCACTAAGATGCCGACTCGCGTGACCGTAACACAGCACGACAATGAACATGACAGTCAGACTACTCCAGACATGAATGCATACAAACCAGTTTACATGACCATGCGTGCACATCTCCCCCTTCACTCACGAAATGGCATATGAGTGAGTACATGAGCAAGGCAGTGCAGCAGCAAGAATGAGCGCACCGGAAGGCAGCATGTGGAAAGTGCAGACGGACAACCACAAGAGAAAACATCAGACACAGCAGAAAAGACTAGAGACAGCACACCAGTGTCAGAGCACCAGCACTCTAACTAACAGAACAGCGCAGCTAACTGTCTGTCTCGATCGGGCGTCGCCTCACTCCACCGGGAGCGGAATGAGGCGTTGGATGGCTCGCCGGTAGATCTTGCCCCGGATCTCAACATCCACCACCCTGACGCAACTGTCTGGTCCGGGGAAGACACGCCTCACCCTGCCCAGTGGCCAACTGCCCCGGGGTGTGTCGGGCTCGATACACAGCACCACCTCATCGACAGCGATGTTCTTCTGCGTCTTGCGCCACTTCCTGCGCTGGTTCAGCAGTGGGACGAACTCCAGGAGCCATCTCCTCCAGACCTCCTTCACTGTGCGCTGCACGACGGCGAAGCGATCTCTGGGGTGGACTTGCTCTGTGGCGTTCAGTTTCTCTTCCAACGGCAGAGGTGGGTCGCAGCGTCCTGCGAGGAAATGCTGCGGAGTCAGCGGCTCGAGGTCGGCGGCGTCGGCACTGACTGTTGTCAGCGGACGGGAGTTGATGAGGTCCTCTGCGGCGACGATGGCGGTGTGTAGCTCCTCATCAGTGAGCTCAGCGGTGGCCAGTGCGGATCTCAGAGCGCGCTTCGCTGCCTTAATCATAGCTTCGAAGACACCTCCAAAATGCGGTGCTCTGGGCGGGTTGAACCTCCACCGGATGTGTCGATCAGCGAGACTGCGCGCGATCTCTGCGCGATCGAGCTGCTCCACGGCTTCTCGTAGCTCCCGTTCAGCCGCGACGAAATTTGAGCCGTTATCGGTGACGATGATGCTTGGCGTGCCGCGCCGCTTAACAAAGCGGTTGAACGCCATGAGGAACCCCCCGGTATCCATGGAGTAGGTGAGCTCCAGATGGCAGGCACGGGTTTCCAGGCACGTCATGAGACAGAGGTAGCGCTTCGCTCGGGTTCTGCCTCGTCCTTGCTTTGTCTGGAACGGCCCGGCAAAGTCGATGCCGCAGTGCGAGAATGGTTGGAGAGACCCGGCAGTCCGAAAGTCCGGCAGAGCGCCCATGATCTGCGCCGCCGGTACACCCCAGTTCTTCCGACACGGAACGCACGACTGGCGTGCCGTCTTGACTGCTGATGCACCGTTTACTATCCAGAACCTCTCCCTCAGGTTGGACAGCAGATGCTGAGGTCCCACGCTGTGGCGGCACCTCCGGTCCTCCTTCTCGATCAGCAGCCGCGTGACAACGTGCTTCTGAGGCAGGATGATCGGTAAGCGTACACGATATGGCAAGTGTTTCGCAGCCTTCAAACGGCCTCCGACCACCATCAGCGGTTCAGCATGTTGATCTAGCGTCGGGGTTAGCGCCGCCAGCGGGTCGCTAGCCTGCATTGGCTTTCCGGCGGCCAGACGCTCCAGGGTTGGGCCGTACGCGTCCTTCTGTGCCTGTCGTATCCAGTGCCTCTCAGCGCGGCCTACCTCACCCGCCGTCAGCTCTGGCACGTTGACAGTAGGGTAGTTCGAGTTGGCTGCTCGCGAAGTCGACACTGCAACGGTGACGTCTTGATCGCTGCTGGTATCCTCCCCCTTCATGCCGACGCGCGGCTTGCGGCGGCATCGGCTGACAAACCGGTAGCACCACGCAGTCACCCTGAGCAGCTGCTTCCAGGTGCGGTATCTGGACGCCTGGAGGCGAGTGGTTGGCGTGACGGCAAGCGTGAACGTGGTCTCCCGCTGGATGACGCCTGGCAGACCTTCTGTGGACGCTGAC